GAGACAACCACACATTCATGTTTCTCTTCCCTCTTTCCCCACTTTCCCCTCTCTAAAAGTAAGTAAATGAAAAAATTTTTTTTAAAAGCTATTTTCTAGCCCCGGCTGGTGTAGCTCAGTGGATTGAGCGCGGGCTGCGAACCAAAGTGTCGCAGGTTCGATTCCCAGTCAGGGTACATGCCTGGGTTGCTGGCCATGACCCCCAGCAACCGCACATTGATGTTTCTCTCTCTCTGTATCTCCCTCCCTTCCCTCTCTAAAAATAAATAAATAAAACTTTAAAAAAAACCCAACTATTTTCTAAGAACTTTAGGTACAGCCCACCCTGCCTCCAGGAGACCACAGCGATTGACCTTTGCCCTCCACATGAGATCACAAGCAATCGAGGTGGTGTCCGAGCCATTGTGTTCCAGGGAGAGAAAGACAACCACCTGGGGCACAGCTAACTGCCCAGGGCAAACGCTGCAGGTTTTTTTTTACATCTAATTTCTCCTGAATTTCAAACTCCTCTGTTCTCGGTTGTAAGAAGGCTGGTGTGAAAGGAAACGGAAGATGGTGTGTTAGAATACAAACCCGCCGTCTTCTCAGATCGCGTCCATCTGAGTAAAATGCCCATAAAGATTCTATCGCTGTCTGCGCTTATTGGGTCTGGTAGGTGCCAGGCAGCACAGACGCTGGCTTTTCCAGTTTCAAATGCGAAAGACGTAGAGGGGAGAGGAGCCGGGTGATCTGATCCAAGCGCCTTTATTTGAACTGTGCTTACAGATAGGCTAAGTCTGGACCAACTGCAGCCCCGGGGAGGACAGCAAGAATGGGATTTTTTAAAGAAAAAGCGCAGGCTTTGTGGGGGGACAGGGGAGGGATTAGTCTCTTGTCCTTCTGGTCAGATGCCTCATGTTTCCAGGATGTGAGTCAGGACCATGGGTTAGATGAAGGGCTGGGCTGGTCCCAGGCACAGGGTCGGGCTGACCACTGGCCTTTGTGGCCCAGTCAGATATCATCTGTGTGTGGTGGGGGACAGTTTCAATTAAGGCTCGGGCTATCAAGCCAGTTGGGATAATTGAGTCACGGGCAGTCCAGTGGGTCGGAAACTGACCTGACTGGGTCATGCGCCTTCTGGGGGCTGGGAACTGGCCTGAACCTTGCAGGAAGCTACTGTAAAAATCCAGGAGAGATGATAGTGTATGGACTCGGGTAATTTCCAAGTATGTCTTGAAGATTGAGGTGGAGCTGTCAGCATTTGCTGGATTGGTTGAGGGATTAGAGAGACTGGCGTTAAGGAGTATCTAAGGTTTTTGGACTAAGCAACCGGAAGCATAGAACTGCCATATGCTGAAGTAGGGAAGACTGGAAGGGCTGGAAGTCAGAAATTGGGGTTCGCACATGTTAAGTTCATTAGGCACAGGATGTTGAGCAGCTCAGACGGAGAGCAGGACGACGGCTGTTGGGAGCGGGGAGGTCGGGGTGGAGGGAGCAAGCAAAAAGGATAAAGGACTCAAGGCCATGAGCAACAGTGTGGTGAGTGCAGGGGGAAGGAGGTGGAAGGGGGTGAAATGGTAATGGAAAAAGTACAATTCAAAAAATTAAAAAGAAAAGATGTTCAGCAGGCAGTTGGAGATAATAGAAGCTGGAGTTTGTGGGAGAGACAGTGACGTCGGAGATGTGTGGGGGTTTTTTGGTTGGGGGGGTTGAGGGGCCATCAGCATGTAAATGATATTCAAAGTCACGGGACTACTATTGGATCACCCCTCAAATTCAGGTTCAAGTACCTGATGTGCTACTAGGCCAATGTATCGAGACACTGGTGCTCGGAGACAGAGAACGTTTTATTCGATTTGATCAAAGCAGGAGGACAGGAGAGCAAGATTTCTTGAATCTGGCTCTTCCGAGAAGCAAAAACGTAGGGGGTTTTCATGGGGATAGGCCAGCAAGGGTGTCCAACTCATTTTCGCCAGGGGCCCCATCAGCCTAGTGGTCGCCTTCCAAGGGCCAAATGTAACGTCAGGACCACGTAAATAGAACGACTCCTTAACTAGGGGCAAGGAGCTTGGCGCTGCCACCAGGGCCGGATTCGGCCGAGGGCCTTGTGTCTGCCGCCTGTGAGATAGGGAGTGAGGGAGGGGGCGTTTTGGGGACCTGAGAGAGAAGTCTGTGTTTCTTTAGTCACAGATAACTTTTTCTGCATGGGACTCCTGGGTACCAGCAACTGGTCACTGCTACCTTGAAGACAGCCCTTCCTTCTACCAAACAGACTCATCAAATTCTCTTCCTGACCCTGAAGTTATCACCTCCTGATACAGAAGGAGATGCCACATCAGTGACTAAAGGAGTGGAGCAAACAGAGCAGTTCGTATTTGAACGGAGGGCTAGTTGAGGGGGTGCTGCCGGAGGGAATGGTGGTCCCAAGTAGGAGGGAGGCAATGGGGGGAAAATTGGGACAACTGTAATACGGTCATCAATAAAAAAAATTTTAATTAAAAGAAGTGCAAAGAAAAGAAATTATTTAATTCTACCTGCCAAAAAATGCTATGTGCATTGAAATCACAGGGGCTCTGCTACAGGACTGCTTGAGATGATTATTTTTTGTTTTATTTTTAAAAAAATTTTAACCATTTTTTTTATTGTCGTTCAAGTACGGTTTTCTGCCTTTTCCCCCCACCCCTCCTCACCACCCCAGCCCTCCCCACCTCCCTCCCGTTTCCACCCCACCCCCTTGTTACTGTCCATGTGTCCTTTATAGTTGTTCCTGTAAACCCTTCACCCTTTCCCCCATTATCCCCTCCCCTCTGGTCACTGTCAGCCTGTTCTCAATTTTAATGTCTTTGGCTATACCTTCCTTGCTTGTTCGTTTTGTTGATTAGGTTCCTGTTAATGGTGAGATCATATGGTATTTGTCTTTCACTGCCTGGCTTGTTTCACTTAGCATTTGAACTGTGCATCTGATAGGTTGGCTATCTCTTCATTGCTTAGTTGTATTTTTTCTGGAGCTTTGATCTGTTCTTTGGGCCATTTTTTTTTTTTTGTCTTGGCCTGCTTGAGATTATTAAGCATGTGGATGCATGGAAGAGAGCGGTCACCGTCTGCCTTTCTCATTGTCACACCTCCCCCTACCATGGGCGACCTCTAGAGCAAGGTCACACACTCTCACACCCGGGCGTGAAGTGGACAGCTCTCCCGGGCCAGCACAGCAGGGAGATAGGCAGGGACGGGGTGGCTGAGGCCCCTTGTGGAGGACAACCGAGTCCTATGGGGAAATAGGGACAAAACGGCCACTCTCTCTAGTAGAGAGCGCCCCGAGCCCCCCGCCTCAGTAGGTTTTTATTAAGAATACCGACACAGTTTGTGGATTCCAGCCTGGCAGGGAAGATCAAACAGGTAGGTAATTTTCAAAGGTGCTGGCAGAACTCCCGCTGGGATTCTGGGCAGAGTTTCTGGGGTTTTATCACTACAGGACCTAAAAGGCTAGTCTCATTTCCTGCCTATGCCTTCAGATTCTAATCTAATAACATCCTCCAGCAAGCAGATCTCACAGGATCTTGCATAATCTATGTCCCAGGCCTGATTACCCCGGGGGTCCACTGACTCTGGTTGGGGTTGCACCACCCCTGTTATTTCTGCTGGCCTGAGTCAACAGAGGGGACAAAGGCATCCAGGAGACTTGGATTACTCACTTCTAAGAACAAGGACTCAGGCTTTGACAAAGCCGAGGGGGCGGGGGTCGATGTTGATCCCCCCTTCGTTTCCACAGCCCCCCAAGTCCTTCCCTGAGGCCTCCACGTGGTCATGCCTGTCTTAAGCGATTCCCCCCCGTGGGAAATCTTACCCGTCATTGGCTAACTGATCAAGCTTAGGAGGTCAGGCACAGAACAGGCAGCGTTCATGCCAGGGAAATAAGTTTTGTCTCCTTAGTGGCTCCTGGTTCTGAGGCCTCTCACTCAGCCTGTCACGGGGGTGGGGTTACAGCTTCCTGAGACCAGGCAGGGCGGTCCCCAACAGCCCCTTCCTGAACCTTCTAGGGAGGAGTGGAAGCAGCAGGAGGTCCGAAGGGCCGGAGCAGACCACTTTCTGGAAGCACGGGCAGGCGGGGAAGCGGCGCCTCCTTCCCCCACGGTCCCACGCAAAGCCCCGGGAGCCCCAGTAGGTCCCTCTCTATTCCCACGTCCAGGCCCCCGGTTGTCTTCCTCCCCCCGCCTAGTCTCTCCCTCGGTACCTCCCCTCCAGGGCACCCCTGCCCTGCCCTCTGCCTGAAACCTGCTCCCCCAGTTTCGATCCGTTCTTCACCCCTCCCTCCAGCACCCAGCCGGGGAGGCAGTTAGAAGGAGACGGGCTGCACACCCCGCAGGCCCTCTCGGGGGCTCCTGCCAGCCCCTCCTCTGGCTGAGCTCGGGAAGGAGCACAGGCTGCTGGGCCTTGGCCAGACCTCCCGGTGAGAGGCAGCTCCTGGGCTCTCGGGGATGTCTCCCCCCGAGTTTCGCCCAGGGCAGGGGGCAAGGTGAAGGGTGAGTGGGGCTGCTTCCTTTCAATTCACTTGGCCTTGTTTCTTCTTTCCATGTCTGGCCTCTGCGTGGGACTCCAGTTACAGTACCAGTCACACCACCAGTAGTGACAACGCCCATGCCTGCTATGAAGACCTCTACACCAGCGCTTTCGAGTGTTATCTCACTTAATACTTACTCTGATCTGTGGCATAGGTATCATACCCATGTTACAGATGGGAAAATAGGCTCCCAGAGGGTAAAGAACTTGCCCGCGGTCCCATGACTAGTGGCCAAGTCACAACCAGACTTTTTCCCCCTCCAAGTCCGCCTAACTCCTACTGCTCAGACAAGAGCAGTGGACTTGAGTCTGACCCTGGCTAGCTCTTCCCTCCTCCCGGGAGGTTTCCCAGTAGGTGTAACCTGAGCGAACGAGGACTTTCAAGATTGCCCACTCCAGGTGCAGTTCTGCTCCATTTTCCAGAACTGCATGTCCCTGGGGGACGCAAAGAAGAGAGAAGGAGACCATGGGGACCAGGCCTTTATTGCAGGGCGGCTGGAGGAGCGCTGAGCTCAGGGTTCCCCAGTTCCGGCTCCGGCCTCTGTTCCGGCACCGGCCTCTGTTCCGGCACCGGCCTCGGTTCCGGCTCCGGCCTCGGTTCCGGCTCCGGCCTCGGTTCCGGCACCATCAGCACCATCAGGACCATGGGTGGGCTTGTCACTGAACCCTATGCGGTGCATGGCAGCGACGTAGCTGCAGCCGCTGGGGTCGGAGAGGCGCAGCCGCACCAAGGGCAGGATGCCCTCGTAGCTGAAGTAGCGCAGGGCGGGCCGCGGGTCGCGCAGCGCGGTGAGGAAGACCTGTGGGGGAGGGAGAAAGCGCGTTAGCTGCAGCTGGGTGCGAGGGCTGGCCTGCCGCCCCAGCTCCGGGAGCCCTGCCTGGCACCCACCTCTGCCACCTCCTCTGGGTCCTGCCCCTGCTCGCGGAAGGCCTGCTTGCTGTGGTGCAGGTACTGGGAGAAGAGGTTTCGGGTCTGGGCATCTACATTGTCCAGCACCACGCCACGGCCCATCTGGAACTTCTCCTGGAAGGCGGTGCGCACAGGGCCGCACTCGATGAGGCTCACACTGGCGACCCGAGAGCAGCAGAGCAGTGAGTGGGCTGAGGGCCAACGAGAGCAGGGCCCCGGCCTGACCCCCAGCCTGGCCCCCAGCCCCCTGCTACCCCGCCACACCGGAAGGGAGGGTGGGAAGGGGTCTGCGCATGGGCAGGTGGCTAGTGACAGACAGAGCACTTGGAAAGTGGTTCGCTGCCCGAGAGGGGCTTCCACATCCATCTGAGGCTGTGAGACCTGGTCTGAAATCAGAATTCCAACTTGCCTGGGTAACATGCTGTGTGACCTTGAGGCAGTCAGTTAACCCCTCTGGGCCAGAGCTTCCTGATAACAGACACCTCACCAGCTAGGTATGTACCAGCGTACATGTGCGCGGGCACAGAATAGTGCCTGGCACACGACAAATACGGGCTGCCATGGGGACAGGCCAAGGAGCCCGCCTGGGAGCAGCTCCAGCGAGAGGAGATGGGGTGTGGGGGTTCCTAAAGTCGGGGTTCAGAGGGTTCCAGGGGCAGGGCGGTGACTCACTGGACCCCGAAGGGCAGCAGCTGAACGGCCAGACTCTCACATAAACCTTCGATGGCGAACTTGCTGGCGCAGTAAACATCGTTGAAGGGGATCCCTTTGGAGGGGAGATGAGGCCGCTGAGAGGCGGAGGGCGCGCAACCGCGGACAGCCCCCTGCGTCCCTCTCACCCCGCCAGGCCCCTTCCACTCACCCATCAGGCCTCCCATGCTCCCGGTGACCAATATGCGTCCTGAGTGGCGGCGCTTCATGTCCGGCAGGAAGGCCTGAAGCACCCGCACCGTCCCGACCAAGTTCACGTCCAGCACGGAGCCCACGGCGTCAGCCGAGTGCACCTCGAGTGGCCCGGACAGGCCCCGGCCAGCATTGCACACTGCGAGGAGAGGTCTATCCCCACGTGCCTCACGCACTGCCCTCCACCCCTGCGGCACCCCTGGTGCTCCCTGGGCCTCGACACACCTAGGTTTGGACACGGGGCAGGGAAGGCTTTGGCATGCGTTTTGGGGAGGCTCACCCAACACGTCCACGCGGCCCTCGGTCACACGTGCCCTGGCTGCAGCCACAGAATCTGCATCCTGTACATCCAGCTGCAGTGTCTCCAGGGAGCCAGGAGGACACCCTTGGGACTCAGCTGCCTGCCACAGCGGGCCCTGCGTGCTCAGGTCCCGGAAAGTGGCGTACACTGGAGGGTGGGGGAGGAAACGAGGATCTGAATGGCCTGCTCAACTTACCCAGATTCTCTCGGACCCGGGGCCGCTCCCCCGTCTCCATCCAAATCCCCTCGGGTACCTTTGAAGCTCCGCGATGGGTCTGACGCCAGACGCACGGCCAGGTGCAGGCCGATGCCCGAGGAGCAGCCGGTGATGAGCACCACGGTGCGGTCCATGGGGATGGGTTGGTGGGAGAGGCTGGTGGAGTGTCAGGCTCTCTTCTCTGGACAAGATATCACCTACTCTGCTCCGCCCAGGCCTGAAGAAGTCTCCACCCCTTGTTGTGTCTTCGGCATTACGTCAAGGCTGAACCCTCCAGAGGTCCATGGCCGACTCAGCTCTAAGGTCAGATCTCCTCTCTCAGCATCGAGGTCAAGGCAGAGATGAGGCTACTTCTTGGAATGACCTTTCTGCATTGCTGGTCAGAGGCAGAGCGAGGCTTTGCAGTGAGGAAGTAAAGGCTCCCAGGTAGACACTGAGAGCCCTGGCCAGATCTTCCCACAGGGACAATTACAGTTTCCCAAGTTTGCTACTGACGGCACGAAAGGAGATGCTTCGGGAAGGCATTCTCAGGTCAAAGGTCAGGAATCAGTATTAGGACAAGGGCAAAGGGTGGGGAGAACCAGCCTCACGCCGGGTCTGTGCTGTAACTCTGGCCCCCCCCACCCCGGCACCTAGCAGTGACATTCAGACAGATAGGCCCAGGCAATTCACCGGTTTATTAAGTTGCATTAAAACAGTACTTTGACCCCCAATTTGGGGTGGTGGGGGAGGGCGTCTCACTTCCCTCCAAATCTCCTTCCCCTGATCCGACTGGCAGGTCTTGAGTTCCTTCGCCCAGGCCTGGGGAGCTCCAGTGATGCCTGCCCAGCCCCTGACCCCGGGGACCTGCCGGGGCCTGGGGTGGGGGGTGCATATGGCCCAGGGGTGGTTAATCCGTCACAAGGAGCCAGCCGCCCACCGGGGGTAATATTTGAGGAAGAGCTCCTTGGCCAGGTCCACAGTGTTGCCTTGGGGCTGGTCAGGGTACCTCCGTGTGTTGAGGACAAAGGTCTGCTCCAGCTGGAAGGCGTCTTTATCGAACTGGTGCTGCTGGAAGGGGACGCCCTGGACCAGGCTCTCGACCAGCATGTCCAAGAAGAGGCGCCAGCGGGGGGTGTAGTAGTCGGCCACCAGTCCTGCCAGCTGCTTGTTGGCGTAGTCCAGAATGTTGCCCTCCGGCCCCCAAAGCGTCAGCTGGTAGCGGCTGTTCTGTTCATAGAAGCGGGCCTCGGCCTCACTGACCGCCGCGGCCCGGGCTTGTCCCAGCCAGCTGCCCAGCAGGAAGTGGCTGTCACTGGCCAGTAGGCCATCCAGTGAGGGCAGAAGCTCGTAGACCAGGATGCCCGCTGCCCTCAGCAGCGGAACCAGCTCCTTGCTCTGGTAGGCAGTCCTCGCCTCCTCGTAGTACAAGCTGACCAGCTCCTGGACCGCCTGGCGGCTCACGTCCACCAGGTCGTAGCGGAAGGCCGGGCTGGCGGCCAGGGTGGGGGTGGCTGTCAGCAGCAGCCGCCAGGCCTCGAACACGTCGGATCGGTTGTACCAGACGGTGGTGACCATCTGCAGGGACGGCCGCCTGACGAGCGGGCTGCGGTTGTGGCCGCTGCAGGCGGCGCCCGAGCAGTTGTAGACGCTCCTGAGGAGCAGCCTCCATGCCGCCTCTGCGCCCGCGTGGGAGGCCCCGTACCGCCGGGCGGCAAAGCTGGTCACCCAGGCCCCCAAATCCGTCACCGGGTCCTTCCGCCAGCCCAGCTCGGCCATGAGGGCGTAGACCACCTCGTTCTGGCCGATGCCTTCGGGGGCCATGCCCGTGCCCGCCATGGTGGAGTTGGGGAAGAGGCGGGCGGCCGCGGGGCCTCGGTTCACAGCCTCCAGGGCCCCGAACAGGCCGTGGTTGCCCCCGAAGTTATGCAGCATGCACCAGATGAAGGGCTGGCCCTGGAAGGAGGCCGTGCGGTTGTACACGGGCTGGCTCTCAGCAAACAGGTCCAGCACCAGCAGGCGGCCACGGGGCACTGCCCTGAGCACCGCGCCCACCTGCGCGGGGCCCCAGAACTGGGGCTGGTGCTGGAAGAGCCAGCCTTGGAGGAGCCAGACAGCGTCAGGGTCCACTGTGGTAGGGGAGGGGGGACAGAGAAGGAGGGTGATGAGAACAGCAGAGAGGCCAAGGGAACGTTCACCCCATTCTACAGATGAGGAAACGGGGGTCCAGAGAAGGTAAGTGACTGTCACAGGCACCCCCCTTCCCCTGTGCGCCCGACCAGCAGGGCACGTCCTCACACACACCCTTCCTCTCCCCTCCTCTCCCAGCCAGCAGCTCCAGGGAGGTGCTGTCGCGTGTACGCGGAGGGCCGGTTAAAACGCACGTTCCTGGCTGCTCCTCCGACTCAGAACGTGGGGCCGGGAAGGGAGGAGGCTGAACGAGCCCTCTGACAGGCCCTGGGCCCATCAGCGCTGCTCTCGGAGCCCTGAGCCCACTGGTTCCCCTCCTGTGCGACCAGGAGGCCTGCCCAAGCCACTCCTGACCTGGTCCGGTCCGCCCTCCCCTGTAGGGGGCAGGAAGGAGCGCTCGGTTCCCACTGGTGCCCCAGGAAGGGCACCTCACAGCTTTGGGCACACTCTCCGATCTCCGGCCTGCGTCAGGTGCCTCAGCGTGGAGGTGGACACCAAATAAAACACGGGGTGGGCAAACGTAGGTTTGCCGTTGTAATGCAAATGACAAAATAACTCATAAATAACAACAGGACAAGAACAAACCCTGTGTTTCTAGCACTCTCAACGGCAAACCCACGTTTGCCCGCCCCTGTGTTTTCAGCTGCCACTCGATGCTTGACTCTGGGCCGGGCCTCCTTCCACTCCCGAGGAAGTCCCATGTCACGGACAAGCAACTGAGGCACCAGGAACAGAAAGGAGGTGGCTGGTCACAAGCCACATGGGCAGGGGCAGGGGGCGTGCTAGAGCCCGAGCTCAGAGCTCCCCTCTCAGCCAGTGTGAGCAAACCAGACGATGTTTGCGTGTGCACACCGCCAAGTGCCTCGTGCCAGAGTCCGGTGTCATTCCCAGGCCCGTCTCCCAGCCCCACCCCCCTGAGAGCCCAGGGGCTCCCCTTCCCCGCCTCCCGCTGGCGCCAAACCTGTGGTCATGGCCTGGTAGACAGCGGCAGTGGCTGCAGCAAGGTAGGAGGGCTCTGAGGACGGGGGCTGCATCTCATTGAAAGTATCGGCCCCATAGATGTGATCGGTGCCAAACTCTTTGGTCAGCTCCCGCAGGAAGAGGTTCCCCACAATGGGGAACAGGGGGTCTTCCGGAGCCAGAAGGAAGGAGCAGGAGTAGGAGCAGTTGAAGTGTCCCCAGCTGCCCATCTGGGTGACATTGACCCGAGGGAACACTCTGGTTGGGGGTGAGGACAGTGCAGACATTTACCGGAGGCTGACGCAATAGTCATCGCTTATCTCGTCACCTCACCCACAGCTCCCGGGACTCATGCTGGCCTCCGTGCATCTGAACATACCATGCCCGTGCCTGCATTCCTTTCCTCCTCCCTCCCTGCGTATGCAGCTGGTTACGCCTTGATAACTTTTAGGCTTCGCCTCGTCTGGAAAGCTTTTGCTGTCTCTCCTCTCCCACTGTCTGCAACAAGCAGTACTCGCTTTCCAAGGTCTGGCCCAGTATTGCCGCTGCCCTGAGCCCTTGCTGGCCCCTTCCCCAGGCAGAAATGACCTTGACAGAGAAGTGGGCCCTCTGTACTGTAACCCCCTGGCAACCTGCCTCCCACCAGGGGCAGGAACTCAGTGCACCTGCGTTGCTTCCCCCACAGGGCCCAGCTCAGAGCCTGCTCCGGCAGCCCCGGACGGCCCGACACACGTTCACCGCCTGTGTGCGCGAGGCTCCTGCCTCTCGGGTTGGAGAGACAAAGGGGTGGCCAGCGAGGCCAGCAGCGTGCACTGAGCACCGCGAGAACAGAGGAAACTGGGTGCTCACGGGCATGAAGGAGGCAGCAACCAACGCTGAGGTGGCAACAGGACTTCCTGAGGGAGGGGAGGGCTCAGCTGGGGCTTGAAGCATTTCCCCAACCGCAGGGGTGGGGGCGGGGAGCACAGAGGAGCAGGAAGGACAGAGACCAGTGCACCCAGACGACCCCTCATAGAGCTGCCTTTTGCTAAGACTCCACGCCAAGCTTCCTATACTCAGATTTTACAAGGGAGACAGCTGGGGCCCAGGGTGGTCACGTGCTCTGTCCAAGGTCTCAAGGCTAGTGGGTGGCGGGGCCAGGAATCAAGGCAGGGCTACATCCAGAGCTTCGGTTTTTCTTTAAATCATGTCTTGCAGGAAAATAGAAATTCCATCTCCGAGCTGAGTGGGTGAGGGTGGGTGGGGGGAGCCTCACCTGGTTATAGCCTTGGGGACATGCCCTGCGAATGCCGGCAGCACGGGGGTCATGCCGAAGGAGCGCATCCGGTCCAGGATTCGATGCTGAGGAGGAGGGAGGTGCGGGGAACTGGTGAGCACGGCCGGGGACGGGAGGCCCTCATTCTCCCAGGGCGCACAGAGTCCTCAGGGCCCAGCTGAGTGCCTTGAGCCCGGCCAGACACCACCCTCCCTAGGCCTGTTACTGTCTAGCCCGATCCTGTGCCTTCCCTACCCCATTGTTATTAAGATTGTGTTTATTTATTTTTAGAGGTAAGGAAGGGAGAAAGAGAGGGAGAAAAACATAGATGAGTTGTCTCTTGCTGGGGCACCTGGCCCACAACCCAGGCGTGTCTCCTGACTGGGGATCCAACCTGGGACCCCTGGGTCTGCAGTGGGAGACTCTGTGCCACTGAGCCACACCAGCCATGGCCTCTTCTCCATCGTTTTACCTGCAGGTAAAGCTGCTTGAGGTGCCAGGAGTAGGGCAGGGGTCCACCCCAGGTGTGCAGGTTGCCCATGCGCCCCCAGGCCAGGAAGGCAGGACCGGTGAAGTAGTCATCGATCTCTGACTGGGTCAGGCCCAAGGCCAGGTACACCTGCAGAGGAAGGCAATCCCCAGACACATAAATACCCTGCTCTCCAGTCACTGAACAAACACTCACTGGCCTCCTCTCCGTGCTGTGCCCTCCAGCTGCTCAGACAAGACGCACCCCCCCCACGCTGCAAGGAGTCCACAGTCCAGCAGAAAGGGATCTGTGAACTGGTGAGTTTACGAATATGTCACTCTTGTCACACGGCTGAGGGGGGCACAAAGGGGCTCTCCCCCAAACGAGGAAGGGGCCTTAGGAGGTCTCATGAATCAAGGCTGGCTAGAGCGATGGGTGAGGAGAGCTTTGTGGGGAGCCTACACACCCCAAGGTTCAGCTAGCGCCCAGAGGGCCCAGGGGTGGAAGCTCCCGGGCCTCACGGAGAGGGAAGGCAGTGGCACACTCCTGAGTTGGTTAGTGGAAGGTCTCGACCGGATTCGCGTTTCAGAAAGGGGCACTCTGGCTAGCAGAGGGCCGAGAGTCGAGTCCTGTTCAGAGGCTCTCGTGGGTGTCCAGGAAGAGGGCACGAGAGCCTGAATGGGGGCCGTGACTAAGGATGAAGAAGGTGAGGCAGGTTGGGACCTGCTGGTGAGACAGAATCTGCAGAAGCAGCAGATTGAGTGGGCATGGGAGGCGGTGGAGGGAGCTCTGACTTCTCAAAGTGTTAACAGCAGCGTGCTGGGGTCCTGCTCTCCATAAGCATTCCGACGTTTGTCTCAGCAGCGGGAGCCTCGGTTTGCAGATTTGCAGAGGGCTGGAGCCGTCGCGCACACCGCAGGCACTTCCGGGGCCCTTATGCTCTCTGTGCCCCGACGCTGTGCTGATGTGGGGGTGGGGGTAGAGCTGGGTCCCCTGGGGTGGCCCATGCCCTGGGCACCTACCCGCTGCCAGATGGCCTCCTGGCCGCTCCAGGCCAGCGCCAGGTTGATGCCATTCAGAGCCATCCAGTCAATCTCCTGCTCCCAGCGGGTCCAGTCCCACCACACGAAGGAGTAGCTTTGCGTGCACACATTTTGGTAATATCGGTACCTGTGGGCAGGGGCGTGAGCTGGGGTGTGTCCCTGACGCCCACCATCCCGGAAGAGCTCAGAGGGCGGCCTGACTCCAGGTCTAGCCCAGAGGGGAGGAGTTCTACCTGTGGCCCCTCTGCTGCTTCACTTGGGGATCTACCCCAGGTGGAGCTAAGACTCAGGACATGAGCTTCTGGGGCGCCCACCCACCGGCCCCCAGCACTCTTTCAGGGCTCTCGAGCCCCGCAGGTATTTGAAAGCACATTCCATTCTACCCTCCTAGAGTCCCTTCTCCAGGCACGATGTGGAAGTGCTGTCTGGCAGAGCTGGTCCCTGTCCTGGAAGGGGGAACACATCCCTTCCACGCAGCGAGGCAAGACTAGAACAGAGACCTGTGAGAGGCATGGGGGTCGTTCCTCAGCAAGCATCTTCGAAGACAGGGTGGGCCAGCAAAGAAATGGCATTTTCTGATCACCAGTCATGCAAATCCTGCTCCCATCCCCGGGCAAACCCTCACAACCAACACTGCACCGCAAAGGTCACTGGGTCCATTTTTCAGATGAGTCAACCAAGGCTCGGAGAGGCGAAGTGCCTTGCTCCAGGACACACAGCTTTCAGAGGCTGAGGAACGGAGTGAATGAGTGGGGTGTAGTCACTGTGGTCAAGCTGCTAAATTGCTAAAATCAAGTAGGTTGAGCCATGGGGAGACAAATTCTATTCTTGTTTTAACTGGTCTGGGAACTTAGACTTTTGATCTTTCCAGTCCTGCATCCATGTCTGGACATGCAGCACACTTTCAGATAACGCCTGGATTATTCCTGAAGGACTAAGGAACAAATGGTCATACCCAGCCCACAAGGTTACCTGGAACCCACCCAGAGATTGAGTGCAAGATGATTCCTCTCAAGAATGCACCTTTTACAACTAGGGCCCTGAACGCATCCCCCATCTCGTCTGATCTTGGAAAAATGTACCTTGTACTATAAGAACTCTTGCCGTTTCTTTCTTCTTGGAAACACTCGAGTATTGTTTAGTTGTGTTTCCAGTTTATAAACCCTAAGACCTTAGAATAAATCTTTGTCATTTATTTCTATCCAAAACCTCTAGGTTCTTTTTGAGTTAGCTGGACAAGGCAGAGCTGGGATCTGAAGCCAGAGGTGTGCGGCCCTAAGGCTAGCGCTTCCTACCAGCCCAGCGCTGGGGTGGGACGGGACTTCAGCGAGGTGTGCGCGCCCGCGGGAGGCTGGAGGCAGCAGCCAGGGGAGCCGACGGGCGGGTCCCGCCGGTACCTGTTGGGCGTGGCCTCAGTCAGCTCCTCCGGCAACGCAGGCAGCGGCTGCGGCAGGTGCAGCTGAGAGCCGGACCAGGCCACGTGGCAGCCGCAGAAGTCACGCAGGTAGCGGTGCAGCCCCGCGGCAGCGGCTACGCCCGTGGAGCCGAGCACCTGCACCTGCGCCCCGGCGCCGCCGCCGCTCAGGCGGTAGGTGTCCAGGCCGGACTCCGCCGCCAGCGAGCGCTTCACCGACACCGAGAAGGAGGCCGCTGCCCCGGGCCCCAGCAGCCGGGCCAGGAGCGCCCGCACGGCCTCAGCCTCCCGGGTCTCGTCTCCGGCCGGGGCACCCTGCACGGCCAGTAGCAGGAACCCCAAGGCCGCGGCCACCGCCACCACCTCCATGGTCCAGGGGTGTGAGCCCCGCCCCTGGAAAGCCAATTCGAGACTCGGGCGTAGCGGGCGGGCCGGCCCGGGCCCAATCAGCGGCGAGTTTCAGGTCACGTGGAAGCGAAGGTAAAGCGCCCGCAGGCAGCCGAGAGACTGGCTTCCGGGTCCCAGACGGCCGCCGGAGGGTGTCTTCTGACTGCGCGTGGTGCGGGGCGCGTGACCCCAGCAACTTCGGAAGTCGAGGGCGGGTGGTGACCCGCCGTCCTTCACTAGCGTCTTCAGATGCAACCCCTTTCCCGCGCCAATCGCGTTCCTTCCACTCCTCCAGGCAGCGCCTCCCCTCCCTGGGGGAGACCTGGAAGCCATACTCTCCTTTAAAGATTTGCACTGCAGTGGTGATGCTCTGAAGAAGCACCAGGGCCTCAGGCTTCCAAAAGGAAGTGACACTTAATCTGAACTAAATTGGGAGTGACTAGGAGAAGAGACCGGAACATCCGAGGGAGAGAAAAATGAAGACCCCGGGAGGATAAAGAAAGAGCCAGGTAGATTTGAGGAACTAAGAGGTCATGCACACAGTCGGAGGGGCCCTGGGCCATTGGAGCCTGAACTGGCGGCAGTGGGGCGGGCCCTGGCGGACAGGGTAAGGTCTCTCCTTGGACCCGTAAGGGGCGGCGGCGGCAGCAGCAGCAGCACGAGGCAGGAGTTATTTTGATTTGTCTTGTTGAGAAACGGAGGGCCAGTGAAAGGAAATGACTCAGGAAAGATCGACACCAGTAGGAGAGCCGTTCTGGGACTAAAGCCAGAACTCCTGACTCCAAGACCAGCGTTCTTGCCACCGTTCCCCAAGTGCTGCCCCTTCTCAGGCTGCCTCTCTGGGCAGGGAGGGGTTGAGCGGGGCTCTGGTGGGCGCTTTAGAAAAAACTTTTAGTTTTTTTATTAAAATATTTTATTCACTCATTTTTAGAGAGGGAAGGGAGGGAGAGAGAGAAACATCAATGTGAGGTTGCTGGGGGTCATGGCCTGCAACCCAGGCATGTACCCTGACTGGGAATCGAACCTGCGACACTTTGGTTTGCAGCCTGTGCTCAATCCACTGAGCTATGCCAGCCAGGGCTGAAAAAACTTTCCTAACAGGAGTATGAGTCCTTTTGGAGGCCGGTGTAGATTTTTCCGGAGTGCCAGGCCTGAGTGAAGCGGCTTAGAAACAGGAAAGGGACCACAGGAGGATTGTCAATCTGGAGTGTGGGCTGGAAAAAAACCATGGGAGTCCCCTGAGCTCCACCTGCGCCCTGCTCCCACCTGCAGACACATCTGCAGCCCCTCTGCCTTGCTCCTGCTCAGGGAGCAGCCCCCTCAGGAGTGCGACCCCGCTCTCCGTTCTTAATATCAGGAGGTTCTCTGCCTTTCCCAGTGAGTGGCTGCAAGACCAGCCCAGAGAGATGTGCCCTCATCCAGCTGTACCGCCTCCCTGTGGGCCCTTCTCCACTCCCCTCCAGCATCCCTCACCCATCCCCACCCCATTTTCCCTCCAGCTGAAACGCATTAGGTTCTCCTCCTGCCCAGACCCACATCTCTGGCTCTTAGGGAACACACAGGTGGGGCCTGGATTCACCCAGAGGGGTGGGGGTTGCGGGCAGGCAGGCAGGTTGGGCACGTTGTCCAGGGGGCTGGTAGCGCATTGAAAGCTGGGCTCGTAGCTGCCGGGCAGGAGCGTCAGGGGTGACTTCGGGCCTGCCACACTCTTTTCTTAGCCTCCCCTGTAGGCTGGGAGCTCTTGGAGGACAGTAGGGGGCCAGGTGAAAAAAATAAGTTATAAAATATTAAGCATTTGCTAAAAAGTGAGGGAGATGTGTTGTTAATGATTTGGAATGTTTCACAAACTACGTTCTCTCCTCCCATGGGGCACTGGGATGCTGGAGTTGGACTTGACTTTTTCAATGAATGTGTGTGAAACAAGTAGGTCAGGCCCTCCGCCCTCCATTTCACCCCGCCCTCTCTTGTTCCTGGCCCCTCTGCCTGTGTACCCCAGAATACTGCCCAGCCCATCCAGTTGCCTGCCTGTCACAACCCAGCTAGGACTACACTCACCTTGCCAGTGAGGAGGACGGAGCCCTTCCCTGCCTGGCCACCAGGGGGCAGCCCAGGTCATGTGTAGGACAGGCCTTGGGCAGGCTGGGGAGCTGGGAAGGCACTGAGGGGAGCTCCAGTGTCCCCTCTACCCAGGGCTCCTGGGGCGGGAAGAGGCACAGTCCCACCAGGCCCCCAGTGAACAAGACCATGTGGGCCTTGAAGGTGGTGATGGAATTGCTCCTGTCTTTCTAGCACTGAGCAGGCCTGAAGCCACCCTTTCCACACCGGTCCTAGGACAGCAAGATGAGGGGCATTCGCTGGACAGGGCACAGGCTCACTCAGCAGATGTCTGGGGTCCAGGGAGTCTGCCACAAGGGGCTCTCCTACTGTGATCCTGCCCCAGACACACCCAGCGGCCAGTCCTAGGCAACCGCCCATCCACTTTCCGTCTCTGTAGATCTGCCCATTTCAGACATTTCACGTGCATGGGATCCTATATTCTGTGGTCTTGTGTCTGGCTTCTTAGCGTACTGTGCTTGAGGTCCACTCATGTTGCAGCATGTATCAGTACTTCGCTCCTGTTCACTGGAGAACAATACTTATTGTACGGATGGACTGCCTCTTGTTTACCCAGCTGACGGACAGTCGAGTGGTTTCCATTTGGGGCTGTTATGGACAATGCTACTACGAGCGCTGTGTACAGGTGTGTGTGCGTGTGTCTGCACATTTTCCTGCTGCGGATGCCTAGAAGTCGCATTGCTGGGTCTTCGTTGCTTCTGTGCTTAACATTTTGAGGAACCACCAGACCGCTTTCCACAGCAGGTGCTCCATTTAACGTTCCCGCCAGCAGGGGCCAGGGGTTCCGATTTCTCCACACCCTTGCCGACACCTGTGAGGAGCTCTCTGCATTATAACCTTTTTAGTGGATGTGATGTGGTACCTCCACCTGTTTCTGATTTGCATTTCCCTAATGACTAATTATGTTGAGCACTTTTGCATGGGCGTATTGGCCATTCAATCTAGGGAGACAGAGGCCAGCTGCATATTTATTTAAAAAACTCACGTGGAAGTGGACCCGTGCAGTTCAAATACGTTCTTCAATGATCAGCTGCATGATTTGCAAGTATTGTCTCCCAGTGTCAACATTTTAATTGTGTCCTTTGAAGCAAAAAGTTTTAAAATCTTGCTAAAGCACAACTTATATTTATCACTTGCATTTCTGGTGTCGTATCTAACCCACTTGTTGTATCTAAATCACTGCCTAACCCAAGGTCGGGATGAAGACTCATGATTTCCCCTAAGAGTTTTGTTTAGTTTCTACTCTCACTTTCAGGTCCATGGCTCATCTGGAGTCAACTTTGTATATACAGCATGTGGGGTCGTGGTCCGAACTCAGTCTTTCGCACGTGGACACCCAGTGCTACTAATACCATCTGTTGAAAAGACTTTTTCCCCATTGAATTATCTTGGCTCCTTTGTGGAAAATCAGTTAACCATAAAAATTAGGATGTACTTCTGGATTCTCAATTCAACTCTACTCCACTGATTCCATAGATCTATTTTAATTAGGCCTCCCGTTTTGAGCCAATAACAGCAGAAGCTAAAAGAGTTTATTTTCCTGAATTTCCGTTCTGACAATTAAGGAGGAGCCAGCCCCGGGGGCGCTGCACCCGGGGCCTACTCCGGGGCAGCTGGGGGGCCAGGGGGGAGAGGGTTTGAGGCTGGGGGAGGGGTGGGTGCACACAGTGAACGGGGTTTCCCTGCCCCTCCTGGAGCGGCAGTGTCAGCCTGCTGCCCACAGCCTTCGCAGCCCCTGCCCCAGAGGCCCCAGCGGGGAGGAGCGGGGAGGCAGGGCACGGGGAAGGAATGTGGATGCCTTACATGGCAGTTTGGAGGGAGAAGGCGCCCCCCCCCCAACCCTGCCCGCACGGACGGTCTGCAGGCTCTCTGGCCGCCCGCCCACCTCGGCGCCTTGCGTTCTCCAGCCGCCCAAAGAAACTGCACCCTGGGCTGCCCCTTACACCAATGCCAAGGGCAGCGGGGCTCAAAACAGCCAGGCTACTGAGTCCTGGAGAGCACATCTGGAAAAGAGGGAGAGGGCAGGCAGATGCCCAGACCCCCGCAGGCCCCTGCTGGTTGGGCGGGTAGTGTGGGAAGGGGAGATGCAGCCGGGGCCCCAAGTCCCCTCCCCACCGTGTGTAGTGCCTGCCAAGCTGCCTGGGCCCATAGGGATGGAAGGCGCCTGTGAAACGTGAGATACGGTGAGAATTTCACAAACTGACTGCCCGTCAGGGCCACTGCCACCCTGGCCTTTGGCGAGAGGCGCAGAAATGCCGGAGGGAGGGGGGAGCGTGTGACGAGGGGCTGTGGGCACAGACACAGGCAGCCGCCTCCTCCTCAGGGTCAAACACACTTTATTCAGCACAGGAATGTCTGAACAGAGGGGCCTTGGGCCGGGTTCCTGACACAGAACTCCGCTTCAAGCCCCACTGTAAACAGAACAAAGATCACCATGTAAACCACCGCGGGCAGGGCACGGGGGAGGGGGCTCCGCACAAGCTCAGGTCACACTGGCCAGCCCAGGGCGCCTGGGGCGGGCGGCTGCACCCAGGGCCAGCCCCGCCCCGGGGAGCTGAGCGAGCAGCTCACCCAGTAAAGTCGGGGTGGGAAGAGGACAGGGCCTGGCCGGCCCAGGGGGTTATCTCGGGGCTGAAAGGGACTGGGTCAATTTAGCTGACGCAGCCAGGGCTGCCGGGTCAACGCATGCTTAAAAGGCCCCAAGACCCACAGCTGGTGTGGGGGTGCTCACCACCAGTTCACAGGCAGGGCCACGCAGCTTTCACAGCCTCCGTCAGCGAACTGCAGATGACAGTGGCCTTCTCGGCCCGGGACCTCACTCCCCAAACTTGGGCTCACGGTGGAAGCGGGCAAGGGCACCGGTGGGCAGAGCGAGGCTGGCCTGCCAGAGAGCCGCCCCTGTGGACTAGTCCTTCACTCGAGACTCATGATTGGGGGGTGGGGAGCAGCCTCAGGGTCTGTGCCAGGAAGAGGGGCCATTTAAACCCTCTGCCCGGAGGGTGTGCTGTGGCGGGGCCCACCCAGGGCCCCGGGCACCAGCTCCCCGGGACCTCGGTCTTGGGTCACTCCCAGCTGCACTCTTAAGCAGGGTCCACATGGGGAAGGGAAAGAAGGGGATTCTGGGAGGAAGGAGGAGAGGGTGCGAGTATAGAGTGGAGGTTAGGAAGGTGGTGTGGGGTGCCCTGAGACCCTTGGGGGTGACGAGGGAAGCCATGCACGATGGCACAGTGGGGTCCAGCTGGATTCCTGATTACCAAGTGCTCTGAAGACCGGAGGTGGGAGGCGGAGGACAGAAACACCATCCTCGGGGACCTGCGCCAGCACCCCCAGGGGCAGGGTGTTAAGGAGCACCCCCACCACAGCCAGAGCTAGAATGGCAGGAGCAGAAGCTCCGAGTCTAGGTGAGGGTGGGGAAGGCCCTCCCCACCGCGCTGGGCTGCGAGCTCCTGTGTCAATGCACCACCAGGGGGCAGAGAGGAGCTGCCTTTGGGTGCAGAATGAGGGGTGGGGGCGGGGGCAAGGCTGGCGGTGCCCGGTGGTGTGACGGCCAGAGCCCAGCTTCTCTAGAAAACCACTACACTTCCACACACCAAGCTGAGGTGGCAGGGGACCCGAGGGGGGGGCTGAGTCTGTCTAGATGACTCGCAGGTGGCTGGGGGTGGGTGGCAAGGATGACACGAATGCCCCCAAGTCCAGGGATCACAACCAACACGCAAGAGGGGCACAGCTAATCACCACAGAGGGAATGGGGGAGGGCAGCAGGCGCACGGCCCCACAAGGGGCTCACTCGTCAGACTTCCCTTCCCGAATGTGCTCGAAGGAGAAGGGCAGGAACTTGAATCCGGTCCCGCTGTAGAACTTATTCTGGAACTCGACCCTGGGGAGATGGAAGAGGGAGGTCATCGTCCCACAGAAACCTTCTGGGACTTCACCGTGGTGGGGCCAGCAAGATGCCCGACCCCACGCTCCTGGAGGCCCCGCTTTCCCAGAGGAGCTCGGGATGCAGCCCCGCCCCCGCGGGCCGCCTCTGCCAGCAGGCCAGGCCCAGACCTGCGACTCCTCACACAGCCCTGCTCCTGACGCCCAGGGCCTGCCCTCGGCTCCAGCGGCGCCTGCTCTGCCCCGCCGAGCAGAGAGCCATGTGCAGAGCTCGGCTGGCGCGAGTTTCTACCGGCCAAGAAGAACCTCCCGGGTACCGCGGCCTGGCAGGGCTCAGGGCAGACCCCCTCCCCCTTGTGGGAAGACCCTGGGGGGGGGCTGTGAGCTCAGCTCCAGGAACCCCTCCAGCCCCACTGTTCCCCTGCTGTTTGTCTCCTTGCGGGGAGGAAGGAGAAGGGAGGTTCCCGAGTGAACGCTGGAGGCTTTGGATGTCGGGGAGGAAATTCCCAGGAAAGGGGGTGAGTCAGGAGGGGAAGTGTCCTCAGGGCCGCGGCGCAAAAATATGCCCCAACTACAAAAACATCTGAGAAAGAATTCTCCTCTTGGGGACTGAGAGGAAAAACAGAGCTTCTACTCCCCTCCCGGGCAGCCCGGCGTCCAGGCCCGCCCCCCTGGGGCCGCTCCAGGCTCCAGTGCCAGGGGCCGGAAGGAGAGCCTGCTCCCGCTCCCGACAGCGCAGCCGGCCTGCTCGGCCGCGCTCCCCCTGCGAACTCGCCCTGGACGGCTGCCCAGCAACCAAATCCGCGCCAAATAAGGGCAGAAAAATGCGTGATTCAGAGGATGGAAAAGCCGAGGAGAGCTGCCCTGAGGAATAGTTTCCACTCAGGGCTGTGTGACCCTGGGGGCGGCAGGATCCCTACGAGAGCAGGCGGGGCTGCGGCGGGCTGCAGGCCGGTGGCTGCACACGGAGTACAGGGAGGGGGCTGGGGCCGGCACCCCGTTTGTGGGCGGCAGGACTGTGGGGGTGGCCCTGAGGGGTCCACAGAGGCCCCTTTGGCCTTAGGTGCTGGCTGAGGACACTGACTGCAGAGCTGCCCGCTGCGCCCCGGGGAGAAGAGGTGGCCAGTTTTCCGTGGGGCCAGAGGAACAGGCGGCCTTCTCCCCTAGTCCACAGTCCAGGGGCTGGGCCAAGGTCCCCAGGCTTCCCAGACTCTGGGGAATTCCCATTAGTTGCCCCCAGGCGCCCCCAGGGAAAACGGGATCCAGGAGGGGGAGTTTCAAACTAAAGTCAGTCACAGGATTCCAGGAGAGACCAATTCCAAACCAGGGCCTGGATTCGCACCCACCCCCCAGCGGTCCTCAGAAGCCCTGCCAGTTGCAGCCACGGGCTGCCTCTGGGGCAGGCGGTGGGGAGGGGGCAGTGGCCCGCTTCCGGCCCCCTGCCGTTAGGTCTGAGTTCTTTGCCACGGGCGGGCTGGATCTGCGCGTGGAAAAGGATTCCTGAACAACTGGAAATACGTGGACTGGTCCCACTTTCACTCAACAGTGTGCAGCCAGATGGTGGGCGAGTCACCTTTGGGCCCACGAGGAGTCGGAATTCTGCCCTGCTGGCTGGCTGACCTCACAAACTGGGCGAATGCAGGAGAAGCTTCAGGGGTTTTCAGATGCCCGTGGGGTCACCACCCTTCTCTCGCCGTCCCTCTGGGTGACCTAGGGGGGCCACCAGCGGGGACTCTGGCCTGGGCTGACCTCACCTCGCCCCTCAGCCGTGCTCACCCAGCCTCCTGGCACGAAGCTGGAGAGCGATTTCCCTGCGGGTCTCCCCACCTCCTCGCCCTTCAATCCAGGGAAATGTGTGCTTCCTGAGAAAGTACGGACACGGCGTTCCCTGCGGGCGGGCGCGGCGGGGCCCGCTGGCCACCCCCACGCAATTTTTTCCTTCCTTCGGGCTCCGCTGGGCGAGCCTCCGGGCCACGCCCAGCTCCAGGCCACTAAAACGCACCTCCGAGCCCCACAGTTGTGAGGACAGCCCCAGGCGGTCAGATGAGGTGCTCTGTCACCCCTTCCAGCCGCAGCAGCTGGCAGAGGCCACCCGGTGGCCCAGAGCATGACTGGGAGCCCCAGCAAGACGGCCCCTGCTGTGTAAGAGGAAACCTTGTTTCCTTGAGGGGGTGCAGGGGAAGGAGTTCCGGGCCCTCTTCCCTTTCCTGGCAGGGGTGTGACTGGGGAGGACTCTAGGCCCAGCTGCTTCTCTGGTCCTTTCTGTCTGTCACTCTTCAAGCAGCACAGGGTGGGACACACACGCCTGTCTGATGGCCCCAGTGTCCAACTATGATGTCTGGCTGGGGGGCCCCATTTCAGACGTTCTCACTTCTCCTGGGGCAGCCGTGTGCTCGCCAGTGCCTCGGCGTCTGTGGTGGCACCACTGCGTCCCTCATGACACTCGGGGCCCAGTCCTGCCCCGTCAGCCATCGACCGCCCTGAGCGGGCAGGTGGGCACACGTCCACACATGTGGACTCCGCCAGATGAGGAGGCAGGCCATGGGGCCACAGTCTCTCTGCTGAAATCAGCTTGGCATCCACAGTTATCGAGACAGGCCAGTAAGCCAGGACAAGTAGAAGGGGGAACCGAGGCAGACAGCGAACAAACTCTCGGGGCAATTTACAGCCAGATACAAAAAATCACCTCCCTAGAGATGACATCCAGGCCTCAGCTGTTTCAGCTCCAGGCCCAGAAAAGCAGCAAACCCAGGTGGATGATGCCAGAGCTAACTGCAAAGACTAAGAACCCCCTGCCCTGTCTCGGGCCAATCAGGGGAGACCACGACCCTGAAAGGGTGCACCTGGAGGACTGAGGCATGTCCCACTGAAACCCTCCCCTAGGATTCCAGCCTGCAAGAGAGAGAGAAAAGCCTCAAGACAAAGGACCCAGGGCGCACACACTCTCCCTTCCTTTCCTCTTCTTCCCCCATGGGCACGTCTCCTGGACTCGAAGGGACTTGCATCCAGGACAGCAATGCAGCAGCAGCAGCAGCAGCTCGTCCCCAGCTGACCCCCTGAACCTGCCCCCAGGGCCCCCTGTTCTCTGCCTTCCCAGTGAGCCGAGGCAGCCACGCCTACACTCTCCTGTTGCTTCTTCCGTGCTCAGCCCTTCCTTGCGTCACTGTCCCCAGCTTCAACAAACACGTCCTCAGAGCCACCTGGACTGGAGTTGTAAAGTCTTCCCTGCACGAAGTGGAGAACCCACATGCTATGGGCTGGCCCTGGGCAGAGCTGCCCTGGGCCAGGCCCCTGGGCAGGCAACATTGTAGCTACTAATCCCTGCTGTTGCCTGTGCTCAGGAAGAAAACACAGCTGCTTAGGGAGGCAGGAGAGCCCCTCCGCTGAACGTGGTTGGTGGGAGAACACAGCGGGATGGCTCAGAGGGCGACAGAACTAGCAGGCCGGCAGGTTGCCCTGCTCGCTGCTGTTTTCAAAGGTCACCCACCTCCTCCCGACCCTGCATGGGTCTCAGACTAGTGGTTTATACTCGTTATCAAGTCACAGGTTCTTCTTCGTGTCCCCACGGAAGAGACCCAGAACCTGTACAACGGGGCAGCCTTTGCGTCAGAACCAGGAAACCCCAGCTGGACACCAGGGGTCAGGTGACAGGTACAAAGGCGTCCAGGCTGGACACCAGGACTAACAGCAACCACGTCCCCGCAGCCATTTTCGGCAGGACCCGCCGCTCCCAGGCCTCACAAGATGGCCACAGCCCCAGTGCGTCCCGGGACCGAGCGGCCCGGCCGTCCCCGGGGCGCATCCGCGTCTGGCCAGGAGGGGGCGCACGAGCACCAGTCTGGTTCCCTTCCTTTCCTGCAGGGGACGGGCCGAGCCCCAAACGGGATGCCTCCCTCCCTCGCTCCCGCCGCTGCCGCCAGGGTCTCCGCTCTCTCTACACGGACTAAACACAGTTTCTCTACCAGTCACCACGGCCAGGCGCCCTCTGCACAGGGCACCAGAGACCCAGAACCTGTATAACGGGGCAGCCGTGACCTGTGCCTGACCCGCAGCTTGCACCGTGCCAGGGCGAGCAGAGAGTCGCCTGGTGTGCACAGCACGTCCTGTTCCACCTGCGATGAGGCCGCCTCTCTCATCACCCGAGAGAACGCGGGCGGCTCGTGCTCAGCCAGCCTCCGGGCCGAGCTTTTTCGTGGGCAGAGCCGGGCTTTACAGCCAGGCAGGCCTGGTCGTGAAGCCAGCTCTCCTGTCACATGCCACTTCCTCGGGCTCATTTACGAGGAGGGAAGACCGCGGGCGAGCCTGCGGAAGAGGGAACCCTTCCGGCAACAGAACGTGACCTCACCCACGCCCAGGCTCCCTGCCCCACACGGTGGTGGTGGGGCTGCTCCCCGTCCCACCCGGGATCAAGGTGGGCTGATAACTGGTCTCGCAAACCCAGGGCTCGGGAGACAGAGAGGTGACCGGGAAAGGAAGGAAGCCAAGAGCACAAGAAAAAGTGAGTCACCGCAGGCTGACTCCACGGGTGGCCCCCCTGCCCCCCCCCCCAGGAGTGGCTGTGGCTGAGGAAGTGTGCTGGGGAGAGCGCGGCAGATAAGCTGAGAGCAGGGGAGCGGCCAGCAGCCTGAGCTTGGGCAGCTCCCAGCAGCCTCGGGGCCCAACAGAAAACAACGCCAGGGGCGGGCAGGCGGGGCGGAGGGAGGAGGGGAGGGGGCCTGGCACTGGGAAAGCCACAGGTACTGACGCAGCAGGCCAGCAGCTTTTGGGGGAGACTGAGTGCTGGCCCCTCTCCCCCCACACACCTCACTTTGCTCCTCTGTGATTTAGAACAACAAATAGCGGAATCTCTGCCGCGCTCAGCTGTAACCGCCTCAGGGGAAAAACCAATGGACGGGGGCGGGCAGACATTTCTCCAGTTTAGAGTCTGGGTTTTCTTCAGGTTTGGATTAACGATGGAAAGAGACTTTCGAACCCCTCTTCTGACCTTGAGATCATGAAAACCACAGATCACCTCACCTAGGGGTTCCTAAGGTCGGGTCAGTGCGTTGGGGAACCCCTAGGCTGGTAAAACGGTGTGTGCGCTCATTGAGAGGGGTGTTTCTCTGGAGGGAGGGTCCAGAGCTTCCAGAACCACTGGGGGTTGAGACCCCCAAAAGGGCGAATCACAACATAAAGGCGGAAATGGAGACTGGAGGGGGCAGGGGGGCCGCCAGACTCACAGCTGCAGCGTGAGTGCGTCCCACGTGCACCTGGAAGACACTGGAGCTCCAGGAAAAAAACTGTTCGTCGTTGACCTGAGGTTCCAGTCTAACTGGGCGTCCTGTCATTGTATTTGCTGAATCTGGCAACCCTGCTCATGGGTCATGGGGCCCAGCCCAGCCCAGCCTCAAGCTCTCCCACTCCCTGGGCTGACCTCTCCCCATCCACGCGGGGCCATTCACAGCCACAGACGGCGTCAGAGAAAAGAAACAGACCTGCCCCCGGAAGCGGCTTCGGGGCACTGAGACGCAGCTGGGAAAGCCGGAGTCCCCCACCCTCGCGGAGCTGCCAGGGGGCCTACTCACACACAGACGCAAGGACAGGAATGGGGGCAAACCTGGGGCGCACTGTGCCCTAGCACTTCCCTGGGCTCAGACTCTATTCCAGATATCTGCTTTCACGGCTCTGAAGACAGGAGAACGTTCTAGGCCAGGGCAAGAAAAACCCCAAACACGCACAAAATAAAACCTCAGCCAATCTTCTAGGCTGTCATGCAGAGCGCCGGGGGCCTGCCGTGAAGGCAGGGAGGGGGGTCAACAGCGCCCACTGGAGGCTGTGAAGGGTGAGCCGGGCTTGTCTGCGGGCACTTCCTGTAGCTCGCGCCTAAGATAGGCCCTTGGGTGTGAGGATGTGAAAGCAGACACTTCCCAGTGTCCCGGGATTCTGGACAGGAGCAAAGCTGCCCTCAGTGCAGCCAAAGGACACGTCCCCGAGCCCTGCCCACACCCCCCCGCCCCTCCCTTCCCCTCACCAGTGCAGCCGCAGCGCGTGCAGGAAGGCGGAGAGGCCCTCCATGATCAGGAGGATGGCCACAGTCAGGGTGGCAAAGGCGGCGAAGATGAAGAACAGCGCCAGGCTCCCTGCCAGGCTCTTCACCCGCAGGCCGGTGTGGATCACCATGGTCCAGAGCACCTCGGACAGCTCTGGGGGCCGGGGAGGGGGAGAGACACGGCATCCGGGTCACTTTCGCAGACACGCTAGGGACCTTGTGTTTTGCTCTGCCACCCCTTGCCCGGAGCGTCCTTTGCCTCCTGGCTTCCCACGACCTCAGTGGGGCCACCGTGCGTCGCTAACCTGGCAAAAAGCACTGTGATTCTGCTATCCAGACATCATTCTGTCTGGACTCCAGAGTCTGAATAACCCCAGAGCCTTTATGGAATCTCCACGCTCTTTAAGCGCCCCACCCCACCCCTCCCTGGAGAGTGCCCGCCCGAGAGAAATACACTCACGCGCATGAGCGAGGCTGAGCGCCCAGAGCCGCAGGTAGGAGGCGGTGTTGGAGATGCAGCCCAGGCAGAACTCGATGGTGTGGATGGCCTGGTGCACCATGGTGTCTCCGAAGTCGAACTGCGGTGGGAGGAAACCAGACAGGGGGTGTGAGGCCGGGGGACGGTGTGTGAGGACGTCTGGGCTGCAGCCGAGTGGTGGTGCTTTGGGCTCCGAGGGCCGGGAGCCCCCAGCATTGGACTCTGGCGGTGACACCAGCTATGCCGTCGTCCCCGGAAAGCCTGCCTGGCTCCGACCGCGACTGGGACACTCCCACCCACCGCAACACACTACATTTTAACAAACGCCTTCCTGAGAGTCCACTCAACACATCGGCTGTTTCCCCCCTGCTAGGCCGGAGCTTAAGCGGAGTGTAAGCGAAAGTCGAGGGTGCTCAGAGAAAACGACTGTCTGGACTCCCTCCCGCCGGTGCCCGGAGGGGAGGGGAGGGGAGGGGAGGCGCCTGCTGTGGGTGCCCCAGGAAAGCAGGAGGGGCCCCTCCCAGCTGCTGGGCCCCAAACCTCTGTGGTCCCTTCACTCAATTATTTTACAAACTGTTGGGAGCAAGAGAATCAACCACCTCTTTTTCCTTTTCTTCCTTTCCTTTTTTTTTTTTTTTGTGACTTCTGAAAAGATGACACAGGGAGATTTTAGCAAAACCTTTACTGATTGCTACTTGGATGGTTGAGTAAGACCGGGCAGACTACCTATTGCAGGGGGTCAAACTCATTGTCACCGGGGGGCCACATCAGCCTCACATGTGCCTTCAAAGGGCCCGATGAGATTTTAGGACTGTGTAAATGTAACTACCCCTGAACTAGGGGCGAGGAGCTCAACATTCGGCCCTTTGAAGGCAACCACGAGGCTGATGTGCCCCCCCCGCCATGAGAATGAGTTTGATGTTTGATGCCCTCAATCTATTGGATAGCATTTCTGCTTTCCTCACACCCCCTTTCTCCTAGGTTCCCTTTCAACATCCCAGTTCTTTCCGGAGTGAAGGGGCAGGGCTGGGGCAGGGCTGGGGCAGGCTTTGGGGAGCTCACATTCAGGGCTGCCCCACGCACAGCCGGGGAAGAGCACAGATGCTCTGGGAGCACCAGGGGCATCTCGGAGCCTCTCGCTCTCCCAGGGGGAGAGACCCACAGCTGCTAGAGAACAGGAGGTCTTTCCATTCCCGGGGCCCCTCCCCACAGCCCAGCCCAGACCCCTGGGGCAGAGGGCAGCTGTCTAGTGGGCCTCCCAGGCCGGCCCTGCCCTGCCCTCGGGTCAGAGTCTATTTTTCTCTAGTTTCACATGACTCCACACCCAAAGACCTCGTACCAGAACTGCCTGCCTAGGGAATCGGGGAGGGCAGGACGAGAGGAGGGGCTGGGCTGGGGAAGGGCCCACAGCGCTGGCCTCTGGGGTGCGGCCAGTGGGCAGAGGGACCGGCTCCAAGGCGCGGTCTTCGGGCCACCGCCTCATTTCCCTCGCCCCGGACCATCTACACCCGGGGCACTCCAGGGCTGTTCTTCCAGAACAAGCTCCTCAAGCCACCTAGTGACCCCGAAAACTAGGGTAACCCCAGCTACCTCAACCCCTACAACGCTGCTGAGAGTCCTTTCCCACCGCTGCTGGCTGTCGCCCCAAAGCCCGTGCTCAGAGGAAGGAGAGGCCCCCCACTTCCAGGAGTGCAGGGCTTAACTCGCAAGAGCCCCACGAAAGCAGTGAGTGCTGAGCTCCCTCAGGGCCAGCCACGTCCAGCATTTTTGTCCCACCTCTGGTTCCTCCCACCAAAAAAAAAAAAAAAGGGAGCGGGGTGAGAAAGCTTCCCTTCCAGACACTGCCCCTGACTTTCTCCTGTCCTTCGCTTTGAACTCCCTGCTCTGTAACCTTGGGCAAGTCTTCTGTGTGGTGGGGGAAGGCAGAGGGGTGGGTGTTCAGGGAGTCTGTCACTCGGACGCCCTGACGTGTCGGCTGTGACTGACCATGAACCCCAGCGGACGCCCCGTCTCCACTCCCCATCACCGCTGAGTCCCGGCCTCCGCCCTCCGCGCCCCATGAACGGGCCTTCTTGGCTGCTCACCCCGACCTCCCGGCGTGAGGTCCAACATCCTGTGTCCCGCCGGAGCCCCTGCGGAGTCTGTTTCTCTCCCCTTTTCCTCCTCCCCCTTGAGACACTCACCTCCCCTAACATTTCCCTCCTATTCCTCTGGAGGCTCCTTCCATCTCCATCTTGGTTCTTCCTTCAGTGCGGGAGCCCCAGCCTCAGGCCTGACATCTCTCCTGTCGCACTGCCACTCGAGGCTCCCAGCCCCCCCCACCAGGAGTGACTCCCAAGTGGGCAGCTCCGCTCCCACACTCCCTGTTTCCAGCGAGCTGGGCGTCGGGGGGCCTCTGGGCGCACCACTGGCGCTCGGCTCAAAGCCCCCAGACGAGACTAAGTAATTGCTGTCCTCTGACCCCACCAAGACCTGCCTCTGTGTTGAACAGTGTCACTGCCCGTCCCCCAGGAGCCCGCCAGCATTCGACAAGGCGCCGGGCGGGGCCTGTAGCTTTCACTTCCTCAGTCTCCGTCCCTGCCTGCCCAGGCCTTCACTCCAGGCCTCGTAGCTCCTCCCTGGCTCGTAGCAGACGGGCTGTCCCCCACCTCCAGACTGCACCCTCTCCCCGCTGGGGCACATTCATGGTCACTTCCAGCTGCAGCTGATGGCTCCTTGTCGTCCAAACCCCCTGCGACTCACGGCTGCCACCCTCCAGCTCCCCACTCACCAGTCCCTCAAACGCTGACTCTGCACTTCAGCCAGGCCGAGCACCCGCCTGTCGCCCGGCCCCGAGGCCTGCAGGCCTCTGAGTCTCTGCAGTGACTATCGGTGCTGGTGGGTCTGCGCCCCCTCCTCCCTCCACGGAGCCTCCTGCTGGATCAGGAGCAACACTTCCCCTGGGGACCCTTCCCTGACCTCCTCGCCCCTGCCCCGGCTCCTGTGTTCTCCAGGCGCCCTCCTCCTCCTGTGTGGCCACAGCATCCCGGGCACGCTTTGGTCACAGCGTCTATGTCATCGAGGCGGTCTCCTCAATTTGTCTGGGAGGTCCGTGGAGGCAGGGGCTATAATTTTCTTTGTTCAGTTTCCGCCCCATTAACCAGAGAGCTTGATGCGTGGAGGGTGAATGGGCGGGCGGGTGGGATGAGTGCACTGGTGGGATGACACAGGAGGGAGAGGCCGCTGACCCCGGCTGAATGGTTGCAGCCTGCAAAGGCGTCCCGGCCAACTGCCCTGGCCCTGGTCTGCCCGTCGTGCTGTGTGCCCCCCGGGGGAGGGGCTGCGGCCCCCCCTGGGCTGGAGCCACGGCCTGCATGGGGCCCGCGGGTATCCACAGCCAAGCCAAATGGGGACGCTCTAGAAGAAGCAGGCTGGACTTTAAAAAAAAAACCTGTTTTGCTTGAAATCTTTAGATAACTGTGACAGCTCTCCAACTCTGGCTGTAGAGAACTCGACTGTGTATGTTCCTGATGAAGTGTTATGTCTACTTGGGAAGCTAGGAGAGACGGAACCCCTGAGGGAGCTGGGGGGAGGGGGTGTCGGAGATGACTCGGACAGCGGAATCACCGTCCATCTCGTTTGGATGCCCAAGCCCCTGGGGCATGGCTACAAACAAGGGCTGTTCTGACAGGGACCGGGACATTCGGGAGCTCAGTGAGTAAGACACTTGGAAAGAGCAGGGTTGTCGGAGGTGAGGTTACTGGGAGGGGGCTGAGCACCTCGCTGATGTGCAGCACGTGCCCCCCGCCCTCCCAGGCAGCTCCGCCGGAGACGGGGCACCGGCGGGCGGTCCGGAGGCACACGGGAGCTCCCGGACGCCGGCACTGGAGCCTCCCAGCCTTCGGGCGGACTGAGCACTGTCTGTGTTTACAGCAAACAGCAAAGATTCCCCCGTTCCCATCCCTCTCCCCCCTTGCAGAGGACCAGGCGAGGCAGGAAAGGGACGGGTTCATGGGTCTGAGCATTTCAGAGGGAAATCTGGCGGGAGGGGAAGAAGCAAACAGTGCAGCACGGCTGTTTAAAAACCCAGCTCCGGACCAGACCTGTCCGTCACTGAATGAATTCTCTTGGAGCCAGAAGCCCCCTCCGACGTGGCCTGGACATGTAGCCCACGTTCTCTCTGCTCCCTGCTGTTAGTCTGCGTGTGTGGCTGATTGAACGGGAACGCCTGTCGTGCGGACGGATAGCTCCTTTCTGGGATGCGTCTAAGAGGCACAGCCTCCTTTGGGACGCCGCCTACCTCCCACCTGGGTCACACAGAGGCAGGGCCGACCCCGAGCCAGGGCGCAGCGGTTCTCGCGTCAAACATCAGCAGGCTGAGGAGGGCGGCAGGAAGAGGCCGGCCGCAGCTCAGACAGGGAGCAGGGAGGGGGGGAGGTTTACTCGTGAGCACTCAGAGGGTCAGGGAGGAAACAGCTGCTCCCAGTGGCAAAGCGACCACACAGGACCTTGCAGGAGAGGCAGGCAGAAGCCAGTGGGATTGAGCACCTGAGGGGAGTCACTTCAAGAATGCCAGTGCCGACATTACTTGCAGCTCCTTACAAAGCCATTCTCAGAGGCATTAGATCAGTGAAGTCAATGAGACGAAGACAGAGGGGACCGACATGAGATGCAGTGAATGGAGATGAGCGTGTTCAGAGCGTGGGTTCACGGACTGGTTAGGAATGGCCAGTGAGATGCAGGGTGCGAGGGTGGCGCGTGTGGCCCCCGGATGCAGCAGGCTCAGCAAAGTGACCACAAGGACGGGAAGAGAAGCCCCGGATAAACATGAAGGCAAAGCAGCTCGTTTCTTACCCCTTCATCCTCGGTAGGCTTGAAAACACAAAGTGACACTTAGTGGGAGGCCAAGGCACACGCAAGGTCACAAGTCACGAACACAAGAGTCCCGATCGCTTCTCGGGGGTGGACTGTGAGTGTTAAGGGGTCTAGCGTGGTGGGGGCGGGCCTCCTGGGCACGCTCGGAAAGCAAAACCAGCAGGATCTAGAGCGTGAGCACGCTCATTGCCATTTCTTTTTCAAAAAGTCATAGACATAGCGAGAAGGGTCAGCCCGACGGAGAAGCCCCGTCCTCAACTCCTGTTCTGTTTGCTTTCAAAAGAATATAACGAATGGATGAGATTCCAAACAAAGTTCGGAGGCTCCGTGGTGTAGATGGTCGGGCAAGGAGACTGCGGGCTCAAACACTGAGCTTGGAGGTTTAGGCAAAGTGCGGCTTATCCTTACTCTTTTTTCAGTCTCCCTATAAAAAGTACGCAAGTGACCTTTTAACAGGCTCCAGTAAAACATCTGCAACAAGAGCACATCGGTGGGACAGGACTGCAAAAGCAACAGGCACTACAGTTCCGACGGAAACCGTCCTCGGAAGGGGCAAGGGATGAGGGTGCCGCCTCCGTGGGCTGCGAGGCCGCGGAGAGCTGGGCGGCGGCGGCGGCCTGTTCTGCCCCGGTGCCCGGGAGAGCAGTTAGTAGGTTGAGCTCTTCATGCAGCTCAGAATTCAGGAAGTCAAGCGACAGAACAAAACAGCCGCGGGCTGTGCGGGCAGCACCCGGGGTTCAGAGCAGGGGCCCACTGGGAAAAGCGGTGCGGCCCCGAGAGGTCCAGAAGGCGGGCTGATCATTAGCGTTAGTATGTGCATTTGTCAAGGAGAAGACTGGAGCGAGGCCACGGAGAGACACGAGACTAGGGCTGAGCCAAGGAAGGAGGGAGTGGCAGCCCACGCCGCTGGATCTTACCTCTTCCGCATCTTCCGAATGGGTGGAGAGCTGGTCATGCTGAATAATCTCAGCATCCTCCTCTGTCGGTCCGTTGCCCACCCTGATCCCACCAAAGTTGAGAGTTCCCTACACACATGAACAGAAAGAGTAGAATTTGCCTGGGCTTTAATGTGACATTTCGGGCGGTGGGGAAGGGCGAAGGTTAGTACATACAAACCTTGGAAAAGCATATAGGCCAACAACAAAAACGAAACCCGCTGGTTGAATGGCTAAGTCCAAACGGACCACCACGGTTCCCACCCTGACCACCCTGGCCCCGGCCCCGACCCCGTCTACCACCGCGTCTTGGTGGGAGGACGCGAGCAGCTCTGCCTGCTGCCCCGAGAGACACCGACCTCGCCTTGGTCACTGCTAACTGCAAAGGCTGCGCCAGCGGGGATGCTCAGTACGAACAGACTCTCCTAACCAGCAGAGCTCTATCTGTGACGCCTTCGGTGGCCTGGGTGTTTCTGGAGCTGAACTGAAGAGCAGACTTTCTAAGAGGGAGGGCGCCAAATGACAGAGCGGTTGTAACGTGGTCTGATAAGCTTTCGACAGGAGCCCCAAGGGTTCCCACAGCCTCTCCCAGAAATGTACCGGGTCTCTGCCGAGGAACAAAGGGCTTCCGAGGTCAGGGGAGGGGAAAAGAGCTTAATGTACTTAAGCTTGTGGCTAGGGAATAGCAAGCTTTAAAAAAAGAGCAGCAAAGGCTCCCTTCCTTCAATGGAGGATTCCGGAGCGTGAAAACAACTCCTTCATAGGCACGTGGGCAGATACGGATGGGGTGTGTGCGTCTGCTCGCTTCTCAGGCAGAGTTTTCAGCGGGGTCTCCAGGGCCAGCCTTTCTGCATCAACTCGATTGGGAAAACCTCGGGTTTACTGAGGCAGAAGGGCCCTGTGGGCACAAAAACCAGGCAGAACTGGGGACGGGTCTGACAGGCACCAATCAGTGCTCAGCCTGCCGTGGAGGGGCGGGGCTGAAGAGACTGCCCGAGACCCGCTTCCCACGGTTCCCGTCTCGGGGCCAAGCAACGCAAGAGTGGGAGACCCGGCTCCCGTAGAGCGGCCTTCCGGGGGAGCGGCACCAACAGCGCATGCGCAGGCGTGCTGGTTAAAGCTGCCGCATCAGAATCACTGTGAATGCTGCGTTTCAGTAAGTAGACATTCTCAAATGTCTCCAATGCTACTCCGGGAAAGTGTGAATGTACTAGGTTTGGGGTGGGGCCTGGGAAATCTGTATTTAAAAAAATATGTATTTCCCCAAGGACAGACTGTAGAATCGCTTTGATTGTCTGTCAAAATGGAAGATGCACGTGCCCTTTGAGACGCAGCAACCCCACCCACTGCCAGGAACAGGCTTGTGACGTTTCGTCAAGGACAAGGACGTGCCCCGCAGTGTTATTGTAACAGCAAAGAACTGGGGACAGCGAAGACGTCTGCCAGGGAGACAGGGTTTACGTAATTTTAGCACATCCAGCAGAGTGGCCTACGGAGCTCCGGGCGGCTGTGGAAGAGTGTCACTGTGAAACCATCTCTAGGAGACACTGAGTTTTTAACAGCCTAGTAAATCAAGGGGCAGAACAGCTACAGTTTAAACACGACTCCTAATATGTTCCATTTTCCCTATTTTTCTTCCTTTTTTCCAGTGTGTTTCTAATATTTAAAACATATATGTCCACACACAAACACACGTATCGATGGATGGCAGATTTAAGCCGACATGTGCAGAAAAAACTCGAAGGCATAATACCCTCGAGAAGGAGAAGGGTGACAGGGACAGGGACACTTCTTGCTTTTACTTGCATTTTCTTTTTTTTTTTTTCCGAATTTTTATAAGAGTGTATTTGAGCCAAACAGGTGACAGACATATGCTGGGGAGCAAGCTCTCAGCTGCTCCCTTATCTGCGTTCTCTAAGCAGGCGCACCTGTTGCTTTGATTGTACTTTTCAAGGTCAGTAGGGGATTGTCTGGGTCATAGAATTAGTCCCACTTTTATTTCCTCTTCTGATTTAATGCCCTAGGCAGCAAAGACAAGGTTCACCAGGTGATTCTGATGGGCAGCCAGGTTCAGGAACCACCGAAGCCCTGGGCACCTCCAGGTCACACAAACATTCCGCCTTACAGCCCTCAGAAGGTGGGCTGAAAGGGCAACAGAGAGTGTGAGTGACAGGAGGGGTCTCCTAGGGTGGGTCCGAGGGCACGGGAGGCAGGCTTCAGGGCTCCTGAGGCGGAAGGGCCATCCTGAGCTTTCCCCGGCCAGAGGATAAGGTGAGGGGCAGACGGGTTAGACCTCCCAGCCTGACACTAAGGACTGTCCTTCCAGAACCTGGGGGATCAGAGTTACAGGAAGGGGGATGGGACACACATACACACCAGCAGAAAACAGAAAAAAAATATTAAACTGGGATACACAGCTCACGGACAACCAAGAGGACACGGCACAGAACAAAAACAGGCCAGTGTTCACGTCCTTAGCTCTTGGGGTCAAAAACCCAGGACCCTGTCATGGAACCGTCATCCTGGTGCCTTCAGACTGCCCACCAGGTGTTTGGCTAACAAACAAACAAACAAAAACAAATGGAAAAAAAACCACCAAGTGGGCTAAGAAGACCCTATGACTGTGCAGGTTTCTAGGGTAGGGACTTTTCCTTTGAATAGTCTGAAAGAAAAGGATGCCAGGTTCACAGGCATCCAGACTGACGCATGAGAAGCACACCGTGCAAACACCGAGATGAGCAGAAAGAGGAGAGTGTGGGAGGAAGGCTAGGAAGTGGATGGTGCGAGTGAGGGTTTTCAGTGTTTGTAAAAACTATCTCGTGGGCAAGGAGACGGGATGTCCCTACTTGAAAATAATTTTAAGCAGCAATATTAAAATATCTTCTGATCCAAAATATCACCCCTCTTAGACTAGTTCTAGAAGGATGATCACAGTAGTTTTCTTAAGTGTCAAACGATCAGAAACACCTGAGGAAAGAAATGGTGAGGCGCCTAAATATTTTCTGTGCTTTGAAGGGAGGGCACTGCTGCCAGGACCCAACAGTACGTGAGTGCGCACTGATGGTGAGACGTGAACATCCTATAGATCCACGCTCTAGAATAGTCTGGACTAGTTTGATACGGGGATGTGGTTAAGATTTTGGTTAAGAGATGTTTTTAAGGACAAATATTGAAATGCTGAACAGTCAGCGTGCTGGCACTGAACCGAAAGTTGCTATGGGAAGAAGGAAAGAAACACCAGCACGGTGGACGCCTCTGGTCCTTACACCAGACGAACGGTACACGCGAGACACGCGGCGGAATGGGGCTCTCGCGGGAACAGCTGAGGGCGTGAGCGCTGCTGAGTTCCTCACGAAAAAGCAGACGCGTGTACACTTCCACTGGAGAGACAGGGAAGTCACAGCCCCAGGGACCGAATGTCCAAGCATCGTTGTGAAGCAGAACTTTTAAGTATCGGAAATCGGTTCAAGAATTACAGAGATGTTCTTGCTCCATGCTGAGAGTCATCCAGTCCATGGTCACAGGAGACAGACGTGAAAGTGCAGGAGTCCGAGAGCCACCATCTTGGACAAAGATGGTGGGACTTGGGAGAGGGTACGATGGCCCCTTTGCTCCCACAAACATGACTGCACTGACATACTGGGACAGAGACTTAGCAGACCAATGGGAAAGATGGTATCAGACTCTACCCATAAGAAGGGGAAGTCTCTTTTGTTGGCTCAATAAATAAGGAGGACATACTTCCCCAAGTACACATGTCCCATGCTCTCAATATCGTTAAAAAAGAATTCTGCTGCACTGTTTGCTACCTTGTGAAACAAAACGTGATGGGCGGGTGGTTAGAGTTCACTCACTGTTGCAGCCGCTGCTGCTGCCTCTAGTCCCTGTCGGCTCGGGGTTGGGCTGACTGGGGCCTCCACAGGCTGCCCTTCCTGATAGCGGACGGAAGAAAAGAGGAAGGGAGGAGGAAACGAAAGAGGGAGGGAGGGAGGGAGTGAAGGGGGGACGAATGCGGGGCACATGGAAGGATGGAGATGGTCAGGAAAGGGGGAAGGGGGTCTTGTAACTCCGCTGCTCTCCCGCAGGAGCGTAATCTAACAGCCATATGAGAGTCATGCAAAAGGCATCTTCTGGGCTTTACCAGCGTGATAAGTAAGCGTCACTGCGTAGCTGGGGATGAACGTTTGGCAACTTAAGTGTGTGTGTACAGAATTCACATGCACACATACATTAAGTAAAATACAAGTATGTATGTTGCTTTTTAAGAAAGGAAAGAAAAAGAAAAACAGCATGCTGCAAACCAAAGCTTTTTCCCAGATGTTTTGGGGGGGGTGTGAAAGGATCACGGTCTTATTTCAAAAGAAAACGTCTCAGCATCAGCCCTGTGTCGCCCAGGCAAACCACACAGGTGGGGTCACCCGGCTGAGAGGCTGGCTTGCAGCCTTGCTGTGTCTGACGCTGTATCTGGACAGACCCAGACCTGGGTTTTGCTGAGCACAGAATAAGCGAGATGTGACCAGGAGAGGTAAAAACTTGTAACTTATTCTCCACACCCGAGCTACTCAGAGCCGAATCCAGATGTCCGGGCAGCGGAAACGTAACTTTTTGATTTCAGTGGGTCTGGTACTCATGCGAGGACAGGACACGAATGCATTTTAAGAGTATGCAGATGGACGCACAATTCGTCAGAACCAACGAGGAACTGCCTGGATCTTAAAAAAAAAACAAAACTGAACTCGTAACTTCCAGCAACAGAAATACACCTACCAAATGCTTCCTCCGCAAATATTGGTGGCGAAGGATCAGCGGCTTAAACAGCAGCATCCACGGCACGCAGAGCAAGGCGACCACGACCAGGAAACACTGAATTCCTTTCTGCGAAGAAGAAGGACAAGACACCGCACGCTCATCAAACACGGCGTTTGCACCTCCGGCACGAACTCACCCCCAAACAGCACCTTCTGACTGATCTGCCAATAACGCTATCCCGCTTCTCGAAGTGGTGAGAAGACGTGGCAAGCCCAGAAACCCACAGGACGGGAGTTGTCATCCTGCCCTTTTCGGATGCCGAAGTCGCAGGGGACCCTCCCCAGGAAGGAGGACGGGCTGCATTTAGATCTGGATGCATGCACTGAAAACCCAAGTCTACAGAAAGGGATTTTTAAAGGTTTCTTAGGGTCGCAGAAGCATCCCACTTCTCGGCCTGGGGTCACCACCCTAAGACAGCCCGTTTCCGGGTTGACGCACCTGTCCGGAGTACAGCATTGATTCTTCCATGTCCTCGTAGGAAAAGAGAAACATGTTTATGAAATGGATCAGGAGGCTCGGTGCCTTCTCCGACGTGTGAGCGTCATAGGCCGTCCACTTGTAAAAGATAAGGATGACCAAGTAGCCGAACAAAGAGGTCATGAAGATTATTTCGGGGATAAATCCGAAGTAGATATTCAGGGGCTTCCTGAAATAGCTGTAAAGGAAGAGAGAAAAACGTGGGAAGTGAACAGACCCAGGGTCCTCGCTGCACCTACACCGCCACGTGGAGTCCTCGTGAGGTTTTCTCCCAAACACACCCTCGGTTCTGCCTTTACCACTTTAAGAAGCAACAGCCAGAAGCACCGGAGGCAACACAGACAAGCAGAAGCAACTGCGCCGTCCCAGCCTCTGGACCTCCAAGAGTACCATCCCCACCGTTCTCCCATGAAGGAGAGACGGGAAAATCTAGTACATTCCAAGGCACAGTTCATCATTTCATGTGAGGTACACATCAAGGAAAAAAAAAAACCTCACTGATTTTGATGAAAACTATACAAGGTTCCTTCAGCGATCTTGACTGCAATTCTAAATTGCTAAGGGAATCATAGTAAGTAAACCCCATTTAGGAACAGGAGATTTCTTAAAAGCACTTTAAAAATATATATATCAGCCCTGGCTGGCATAGCTCAGTGGATTGAACGTGGGCTGAGAACCAAAGCATCGCAGGTTCGATCCCCAGTCAGGGTACATGCCTGGGTTGCAGGCCATGACCTCCAGCAACCGCACATTGATGTTTCTCTCTCTCTCTTTCTCCCTCCCTTCCCTCTCTAAAAAATAAAATCTTTTTTAAAATATTAAAATATATATCAGACAGGGTTCTGGGCTACTAATCCCTCCCCCAAAGTTTGCCTAAATTCCTTAGGCACACGCATTATCTAAACTACGCACATTCCCGTGACAGAACCGGGGCCACTCACATGTGGTTGAAGAGGCTCAGGCTGACCCCAAACGACATGTGGACGATGCCAAGGATAACAGACATCTTCATCTTGAAGGAGTTGAGGAAGGTCAGCTTGTTGTTGGCGATGTTCCAAATCTGGGAAACCCAAGAAAGCAAAAATGTATCACGAAGAGTGCTCGGACGGAAAACCCACACTAAACATACAGGTCCGTGGAGAGGATGACACACCAGCTGCCAGGCACCCACCACCTGGCTCCAGCAGTTACCACCCCTTCGCTGACTCTCGGCCAGACGAGCTTCGTCACACCCCCAAACCGCCCACCCCCCTCCGGGTTACTGTGGAGAAAAGTCCAGACGTCCTATCACTTTACCCATAAACACTTCAGGGCAGATCTCTAGAAGGTAAGGACTCCTTTTGAAAACGTGGCCACAATACTCTTACCATACCCCAAAGCATTAACAATGATTCTTTAATATCAAGAAATATATAGCCAATATTCAGCCCTGGCTGGCATAACTCAGTGGATTGAGCCCGGGCTGTGAACCAAAGTGTCGCAGGTTCGATTCCCAGTCAGGGTACATGCCTGGTTTGCAGGCCATGACTTCCAGCAACTGCACATTGATGTTTATCTATCTATCTGTCTATCTATCTATCTATCTATCTATCTATCTCCCTCCCTTCCCTCTCTAAAAATAAATAAATAAAATCTTTAAAAAAAAAAGAATTAAGGCTGCTAAATTTAACATTGCAGCCTATTAAAAAAAAAAAACCATATGTAGAAAATAAAACCCAAATAGATAAGCCGGGAAGGAGTCCTGAAAATCCTTCCTCCCAGAGTCATATTACCAGTCACCTCTGAGGCAAGCGGTGCAGGAAGAATTATTTTGGCTCCCAAGGCACTTGGGTCCTTTACGGCTTTCGAGCGCACCACACAGACAAACCGAGGTTTTCCAAAAGGATATCAACTAAAACCCAAACAACTATCTTCACCTTCATTCTCGCTTTTGGGTCACAATTTTTTTTAAAGAGTTTATGTAGTTTTAGAGAAAGGGGAAGGGATGGAGAGAGAGGGAGAGAAACAGTGTGTGGTTGCCTCTCACGTGCGCCCCCTACTGGGGACATGGCCTGCAACCCAGGCATGTGCCCTGACTGGGAAATTGAACTTCGACCCTTGGGTTCACAGGCCCACGCTCAATCCACTGAGCAGCACCAGCCAGGGCTCGGGTCACAATTTAAAGTTTTAGTGTCGGACATATAGGAAGGAAGCACTCTTACCGGATCGATGCCAAAAGGGTATGGCCCGCCAAAAACTCCAGGGACAGTCGGGTTCAGCTGCAGCACGGGGTTCCCCCGAAGCGTCTCTTCCCTGCCATGTCGGGAGAAAAGGTGCATTTATGTTTTATCGACGGAGGGGAGCTACTGTGTCCAAAAATGGATTCCAAAAGAAACTACGACAGCCGTCTCATCCCTTCAGTAGAAGAGCAGGAACTAGCACCAGAGACGAGAAGAGACCAGAGAGAGCAGCAAAAAATTTAAACACACGTATGCAACCGCGTAGGGGATTTAGACAATCTGCTTTTAATTGGTAACAAGAATATCCATGTTCCTAATCTGGTCTCAGTGCCTGGAGACGGCTGCACAAACCACGAAGTCCTTCCCGGGCTGGGACACACGAGGAGACAGAGCCAGCCCGCTTCTAAAGGAGGGTTAGCGCACCACGTGGACAGAGTCAGCTCTGGAACATCAGAGCTGACAACGAAAGGAATAAGCTTTGACTTTGAGCTTCTTTTGCAACTTACGTCCAATTAGATACAAACATAGGCCGTACGCTCCAGGACGATCCGAAGATGTTGAGGGACTTGGAAAAGCAGTCGTTGTAGATGAGGCCGGTGTAGATGGAGAACACGCCCATCAGAAGGATGATGTACCGTCCGCTGAACACGGTGCTGAACATCTGGGGGCCAGAAGGAAGAGGTCAGCGAAGGTGCTCCCTGGAGCTTCTGTTGTGACAATGTCACTTACGAGACACGGGACCCTCCCTCTCACAGCACTTGACCCCCTCCTGGGTCAGGGAGCTTGAAGTAAAGACCAACATACAACACAAACCTAAACTTCACTTTCATGGGGCACGGGGCCTCTTTAAGTGTGTGCAACTGAACATGATTTCTCCGTAAATTCATGATAAAAGACTTCCAGATCGTAATTTTCACAGTGAATGCGTGAGAAATTACAAAGTTTCAGGCTACTGCAGATGTAACTTAAATAAATGTTACCTCATTCTCATTCTTCTGGGAGAGGATCCGGCTCTCCCTTAACACCATCCATACAGCGAAAAGGGTCATCAGAATGCCGTGGCCGAAGTCCCCAAACATCACGGCAAACAGGAAGGGGAAAGTGATGATGGTGTACGGAGCTGAAGAGAAACCAGAGGATGTCGGATGGGTACCGGGCTTATCAGGGTGGTCGCTTCTCAGGGTGTATAAATGTCTAATCACTCTGCTGTGCACCTGAGACTAATACAACGGCGTATGTCCCCGGTACTTAAAGAACTAATGAATAAAAAACCAAAGAAGGAAAAGGGCAAAGCACAGAGACCACAACTGCCAACACATCACATCCCTCTCTGCACGCTGAGATCGCGGTAAGGTGACGTGTCCCCAAGCCGGCCAGATGGATCCTGGAGAGAAGCTTCCCTCACAAAGCAGCGCTGATGGCTGGACTACCACGCTGGCCCTTTGCACAGGAAGAACACAGGAAGTGAAAGTTCTGCCTCTAGGGTTGGCAACAATGTGTTCTGTTCTTTAATTCCTTTTTTTCTAACCCCTGGGACACTGCCTCTGGAGGCCACCAGCTTTCTTCTCTTGTGTAGCAACCATTTTCCAGCTGAGGAAAGCTACCCGGTAGGCGGGGAAAAGCCCAGAACCTGGAGCAGAGCAAGTGCCGCAGAGACTCCAGCTGCAAATGAACCCTCGGACTCTTGATTTGATACTTCACTCTCCGGGCAGAGGAGAAGTCTGCTTTGCGCCTAACGTGGTCAATAATGACCACACTTTCTCTAACCTGGAACAGGGGAGCCATTTTAAGATGTAAGGTATCTTGGAAAAGACGTTTTGCTTAAAGCAGTTCCTGCAAATGACGCGCTGGGGAAAGGCAGGTGTTTCACAGCCTGGGGGGGAGACAGGAGCACCCAGTCCGCCGAGCTCATTCCCGGAAAACCACCTCCCCTTTACACACGTGAGAGGCTTCTCCTTTGATGGGAACTTGAATGGGATCATGTCTACACTCCTTTCGAAATTTCTTAATAAAGTTATGAAAACGCTACACACATTTTTATTGCATGACTTTGGCTTCGTGGTCAACCAAGGTCTCCACATCACGTGTGCTGTAAAACCTAAGAACAGGAGTGCTTCCTGGAGATCAACAGGCACCTCTTGACAGGAATTACACTTGAGCTGAGGTCTTGATAACTTCAGTTTTTTTCCTTTTAAAGACTTTATTTATTTTTAGAGAGAAGGGAGGGGAGGGAGAGAAACATAGATGTGCAAGAGACACATCGATCGGTTGCCTCTCTCACGCCTCCAACCGGGGACCCATCCCGCAGCCCAGGCATGTGCCCTGACTGGGAATCAAACCGGCGACCCCTCGGTTCCCAGGCTGGTGCTCAGTCCACGGAGCCGCAGCAGCCAGGGCAATATCTTGAGTTTTAAGCCAGTTGTTCAATAGCATTTAAAGTGATGCACTGAAAGCTACAACAAGAAAATAAAACCTCTAGAGAGGAAATGATTCGAGGTTTTACCTGGATTTATCTCTCGGTACGTTCCAATCCCGTAGGCATCCACGATGTTCTGAAAGCCGTCCGTGAACTTGTTGGTTTTGTTGTAGGTGGGGGGGGTCTGGTTTGTCTGCATCCTGTTCAGAATGGAGGGCACGGTGGAGCCGCTGTGTTCCTGGGGAGCAGGGAGCACGCCAGTCACGACGGGCCATCCGGGATGTGCACCCAAACCCACCCAGCGGTGCGCACAACGTGCATTTTATTCTGTGGGAATTGTGTCTCCACCTTCCACAGTCTTCGGGGGAACTGAAACTCGGTATAAAGTGTGCAGCGAAAGATTTGGATTCAGTCTTGGGAAGAAAACCTTACCGTGAAAAAACACTTAGTTCTAAAATGTGTAACCAGCAAAAACATGGCACATAAAGCTAGTACCCCCGCTCCACACACATATACCGCCCTTAACACGGACCATCTTGCACGTTTGCACGTCAGCCTCTCCACGGGACCCATGATACACGTGGGGCCTCCTATTTCACAGCCCGACCCCGGCCAGTGCCCTCTGCTCAGGGCAGCGGCTCTAACTCCCAAGTGAAGCTCCAGGGTTAGACCCCAGAAACAGTCTAATGGGCTGAGAATGGGGTCAGGAAATGCCGTTCTGCTCCTGAGCTACCCCGAAGAATCACGGGTCTATGACTGAGTCATTTAACCTTTTTTGAACCGCCACGTGCACATTTGGAACGAAAGGACACGTATAAAATGTATTATCGGAATACGAGGTGAGCACAAGACGAATATAATAAAGAACTCTGGAAGTAAAAATGCCGTGCAACGTAATTAACGTGACCGTTGGCGGGAACCCCTTTTCTCCGGCCGCTGGCCGCACCGCGAGCCTCGGGGGACTCACCGTGCCCCTTCGGAGCGCGAACTGGATAGAGTCGAGGTCGGTGACAGGGCACCAGACCTCTGCAATCAGACACTTCTGAGTCACGTCTATGTTGCACATGTTCAGCGTGTGGTAGATGGCCTTCATCTTCCGCACTTTGATGAACCAGACTCGGATGTTCTTGGCAGCCGCCTGCAGAACCCTCTGGCGGTGGTCCTCTGTTTGATTCAGCACCTTTGGGAGAGAGAGGACCGTGGGAGGGACGCTCCCAGCACCAACCCTCAACCTCCGGTTGTGAATGGCAAAGAGGTGTGGTTTTCTGAGAAGGGTTACTGGGGATCTGTTTTTTTTTTTTCCTTCCTTTGGCTACAATGGCTTTTGAGGGCGGGGCCAAAGTATACGAAGTTCGAGTTCCAGTTACTAACATTCATTTTTGCTTAGCTCCAAGCTCAAGAGAAACCTGAGAGGACAGATTTTGCCTTTTCGCTACACATTCAACCTTACTTCCAAGTCTACAATGGAGCCACGTGGCCACTGGCTTTTACGTGGATTGTGGACGAGTGGGGACGTTCCACATGAGGCCCGTGACTCGGACTCAGAGAAGCCAGCACCACAGGCCCAGGCGCTGACAGAGGAGCGAGTCCGCACTGAAGAACAGCACGCTGCAGAACCCCCTGTTCGAACGTCAGCCCCCCCACATCAGGGAGCAGTGGGGGAGGGGCCGTGCTGACCCACCGCCTGCTTGTGTCGAGAAAGACCCCGTGACCGCAGACAGGAGGGTCCGGAACCCTGAGCGGGGATCAGACGGCCACACCCCACTGTCCTCGCAAGCAGATAAAGCTTTACCTTCCCGTCAGGCTTGGGGGGCGGGGCACTGCCTCGGTGCCGACCCTCTGGAAACCAGGTGGCCAAGACTAAGTACGTGGGAGAGTGTGGCAGGGACATGTCCCACTCTGCTGCCTTATTTGTCGCCAGACAGTCAAGATTTTAACGGCAGAAAAGGGGCTGAGCTGAAACTGGGCAAGCAACCGGCCGCTCATATTTCTGTGTGAACAACTCTTAAATCTCTGCATCTCTTTGAAGAGGAAAAAGCTCTATCCTAGTCATTTTAGCACAGTCTCCTTCGTAGCTCTTCAAGTGAGTTCAGCAAGCAGTAGTAACTACTCCCTGAACCATGGCCTTGGGCAGTAGAATGTGACTTCCACAGAGAGGTTTAAAAAAAAAAAAGCTACAGCCTGTTAGGGAAACGCTTAAATCACTTGAGAATAAAGGAACGAGGCTACTATTCCTCCTCCTGGCTGTGCAATTTCGCAGTCACTACTGTACCTTCTGGAAGAATGCTGAATAAACTTATAAGTGATGTTCTGCTTGCTTTTTTCTTTCCCTATCCCTGCCACCCCATCTCACTCTTCGGTATTCAATCTTTTTAAAGTTTCAGCTCATGCAGCTGGGTGGCACAGACACTTTAAAACCTACCCATGAGCCTGGGAAGGGGGAAGACAGTCCCAGAAGCCAGAATGTACTATTATGGCCGATCACCCTGCGGCAGTGTTGGCTGAACAGGCAGGCGTATCTCGAAGGAGCCGGCAGTAGGTCCATTGCTGGGTCACGTGTGGCGGGGGTTGGAGGGGAAGATGAGGGAAAATGCGAACTGCAGCCTACCTCGGGCAGCTGTGCCCCTGCTGGGACGACACGCCTTCGGGGCTGGCATGTTTACTAAGGGTTCAAGGGGCACTCATCACATTCCTCCAACAGGAGACAGAGCCCCAGCTGGCCACCCTTTTCCTTCCCTGCGCACATGTAAATCGTGACACCTTCCCTGTGGCAAGCATGGTGTGTGTAAACCACACGCACTGTGCTTTGGTGAAAATCTAACGCAGTCTCCTTCTCGGGTACAAGAGTTACACCAGGACGCTTTGGCTAGCCTGCGTGGCTGACCTCCGCGAGGTGACCGGAGCGACACACGAGGGGCTGTCGGGAGTGGCTGCCTCGGTTCGCAGAGAGTGCGAGAGAGAGGGCGGAACTGACTCTGTACATACTTCTGTATTATCTGATTTCTTTCTCAACTAAGCATACATCTGACTCACCACCACGAGAACCGAATCCTCTAAGCAACAACGATTTCAGATGCATGGCATTCCTGTTTCGTCTGAGGATGATGAATGCTATTTTTAACAGTCATTCCCCACAACCCTTGCCCTGCTCCCAGGGGCACTCGGCTGGATTTGATATCCTGAGCTGCTGCGGGTGCCTGGTAAACTGTTAGTGTTTCAGGGACGGAGACTGGTCTTCTATTTCACAAAACGAATTCCCTGCAGCCCTCTGCGTACCATTTGCAGATCATCAATCCTGGTATTAACTCCAGAAGCCATTTCCTTCCTCTCCTGGGGCGTCTCGGGGCAGGGATAGAGGGAGGCCCGGAACCTGGAACGTACAGACACAGCCTGGAGACACGGACACTTCTTCACCTGTCCAGCTTAAATTATTTCAGAAAGTAATCCTGATTCGCTAGAAGGACCAAAGCAGGACTAGGTCTCAAACCGATGCACGATGGGTAGCAATGGTTTCTGGGGAGTAGCCTACAAACGGAATAATACCGTTGGAACTACCCTGACATTCTCTGTAGCTATCCAGTTCCCTTAGATGAAAAAAGCAAAAACCAGTAATATAAATGACTTCTTTTTAATGGCATGAAAGACAGATTCCCCGGGGCGGAATTTCAGAAAGGCTTAAGGACACACACACAGGGCCTGGGAAACGCCGCTGGGTAGGCAGACCCCTCGTGCCAGGTCAACAGCGCCTCTATAGATCAGGCATCCAAGTTACTTCCTTTCACGACAAGGAATGGTGGCTGTGACAGCACTTTAAAAACAAAGACACTGAGCCCTGGCTGGCGTAGCTCAGTGGGTTGAGTGTGGGCTGTGAACCAGCATCGCAGGTTCGATTCCCAGTCAGGGCACATGCCTGGGTTGCAGGCCACAGCCCCCAGCAACTGCACATTGATATCTCTTACTCTCTCTCTCTCTCTCTCTCTCTCTCTCCATTCCCTTTCTAAAATAAATAAATTTTAAAAAAAAAGACACTGAAATAGAGGACAGTGACCAGGGGGGGAGGGGGAGGGGGGGGAGGGGAGGGGGAGGGGGGAATTTCAGGGGAGAATGGGAAAGGTTTATAGGAACAAATATAAAGGACACATGGACAAAAACTAGTGGGGTGGGAATAGGAGGGAGGTGGGGAGGGATGGGTGGGTGGGCTGGAATGGGAGTAAAGGACAAAAAACTATTTGAACAATGATTAAAATAAAAATTTTTTTAAAAAAATTAAAAAAAAAACCCCGAAAACAAAAAAATGAACTTGGGCCATTCCGAATTGCGTAAAATAGCCTTGACATCATTAGTAGGTGTGTTCACCAGGTCAAGGCAAACCAAGAGGGTCTGTGTGCCACCGTTTGATGTTCTAAGGCTAAAAAGAGCTGGGCGGCCTGGCTACACCCTCGGCCGGGGCCCGTTTCTCTTACCCTTCGCAGATTTTCTTGACTCTGTTTTTCAGCTGATCGCCTTGGAAGAAGATGATGAACACCGACTTGTGCACGTAGTCGCCCTAGGCCCCGAACCAAAACCGCGAGTTCAGCCTTCCGCTCGGGAAGAAAACGTCTTAAGTAACTCCCTGCCTCGGTGGTGCAGGACCGGCCGTGACCCCGTGAGTACGTGTGCAGTCCTGCACCTGGCTCTGCAGCTCCCCTTCGATTGCATTCGCCTGTAATCGCTAAGCCACGAAACACTTTCTGTGTTTCCTCTTGATCTCAACCAGGAGCTTGACGCAGACTCTAGGATGATTCCCCTCTTAGTACAAGGCAGCCCTACTTGGCAACCCCACTTTAAACCTTATATTGCCCAAGTGCCGTGAGTACAGAGAGAAGAGAAGGGCCAGTCCCGTCTGTCCCCCGTGCTTCGAAATGCCCAGTTTGGAGCCAGATAGCTTTTGGTCCCTGGTAAGTAACAGCAAACACATACGGCTAAAGGCTAAAATAACTGGAAAAACCTATTTGCAATCAAAATAATACACAGACACAGCTTTAAAACGTGTCTGTCACGGCAGCTAAGAGGAACGGAGCGGCCCCTCTAGGCAGGGGCAAACACGAGGGCTCCGCGGTGGGTGGGAGGTCGGAGGCCAGCGGCGCCATGCTGGGCTACAGCGCTGAGGCCCCTCTGCAAGACCTACTACTCCACGAGACGCAGTTCCCTTGTCTTACAGTCACGGGGTCCTCCAGGGGGTTCTCGATCTCGGCCTGCCGCAGGAACACATTCCCCCGGCACACCCGCCAGAGCATGCGCTCGAAGGTAGGGATGCGCTCCCGGTTAATCACACCAGCCACGAAGCTGCGGGAAGAAGAGCCAGATGGGGCAGTCTGTTCCGCGCCCCGGGGTGCCAGGGTTCGCGACAAAGAAGGAAAACGAGGGGAGGGACGAGGACAATCACGAGGCTATGCCGCTGTTAGGTCGAAAGGACCCGATAAAGTTTTATTCCTGGGCCTGGAAGAGAGTTGCCAAAACACAACTCAGGAACCGAGTCCAAACTGACTTGGAAACACCTCTCCACAGGCTCAGGGGAGTGTGCATCCGGAGGCAAGAGAAGGCCAGCCTCTTGCTCAGTCGAACAGCGAAAACCAGCACGGCCCCACGGAGTGCGTACGGAGGCCTGAAGTGGTACCTACCCGAGCCTTAAAGGCGTGCCTCTGCCCATCTCACTTGGCTCCAGCAGGGACGAGGACTCTTCCAACAGGTCTGGATCCGCCATCTGCTGATGATGCAATTCAGCCTGAATTCACAAATCAATTAATATCTAATGAAAATAGTTAGTGGCATGCAGGGAACGAGGAACCAGGAGATGAGTTCAGAAAATAAAGATGAAAAACAAACCACCGAAAGAGAAGACATACCCACACAAGGAACACAGGGAGGACACGGAAAGGAAATCAAGGAAAGAAACAAGAGGGAAAGAAAGCATAACGGACCCAGGAATGCCACTGGGGAGACGGCTTAAGAAATTAAAAAAAAAAAAAATTAAAAAGAAAACAACATGAGATGATGGTGACTTGTATAAATCTCACTTGGTGGAAGCCATTTTTCCTCTTATATTTTCCTGAGTGAGCCGTGAGAGCGCCAGGAAATACCTTTTCGTGGGGGTAGAAGCCGGAGTGTTTCTTCCTTTTGAGCAAACACAGGGCGGCTCGGCACAGGCGCTCAACGCCCCGTTTCCAGGCAGCTGCAAACTAGAGCTCTCCCTGCGCGAGAATGGGAACGACGCAGACTCTCTTTCCGGGGAGGAAAGCAGAGCGTCGTCACAGTGTGTGTGATCTGAAGAGAGGCAGGAGAGATATCTCCAGGTGGCTAGATTTTCTGTGCTCTTAAAAACGTAAAATACAAGAACTTGCAGCACGGCCGCTGTTTCGAACACTCCCAACTGTGGGGTTTAAAGAGCAGGGCTTTCTCCAAAAGGGTAAGAAGTACCACAGCTAGACAGGCCCAGGCCTCCGCTGCCTCCGTAAAGGGGAGAAAAAGTGAAAGCGTGTCTGAATGTCCTAGCTTCTGAGCAGGAATCTGGGAATAGTAAAAAGTCCGTGTACGCTTTACAGTTTAAGGATTCTTGAGAACATAGCTTCATCCAGTAGTCTAAATCAAGTGAAGCGAAGAGAGTAACAGCTATTAAGCCAGCAGAGAGTGGGCGGGCTAGTTTAATTGTTTGGACTTAAAATGATTTCCACCATGACAGTTTATACAATGCAATGAAGGAGCAGAGGGACCTTCTCAGATGTGCTAGGTCTGTATTTCCTGACCTCCCTCTGGAGCACACCCTGCCGCTTTCGACTCCCGCGAGGAAGGAGCAGCTGCCCTAACAAAATAAAGGCCAGTCACCGCCTCCACTGCCCGATCTCCCCAGCTTCAATATCCATGCACTTCTTGTCTGACCGAGGGCTAAAAGGAAACCAGAACGATCTCCTTTGTCAAGAGCAAAGTTAATGCAAAAAAAAAAAAATCGGGAAAACTTTTCTCTGTCATTTTCATTCTGAATTTCACGATTCGACTTCTGTCAACTCATGAACCAAAACCGCCTCATGGGAACCTCAAATACAAGTCTGAAAGCCTGAAAAAGTGAAAGCAATTGTTTTAGGAAGTAAATTCTAAAAGCAGGATCAACTTGGATCCAAAAAGAAAAAAAGGGAAGGGCCACCCTGAGCCTGCCAGAGAGTGGAAGGGCAGAGAAATCCTGTCACTCGATTTGGAATCACGGTAACCAGGGCACAGGTTACCGCCTGCTGCCAAATGGAAGTCCAGGGGGCCCTTCTGGTTTCTACCAAAAGTCAAATCCGATGATGATGAGCTGCACACAATTTATTTTGAGGATCCCGATGATCACCACATTTCCGCTTGCTCTGGGGATTCCCCCGGCACAAACCAGTGAAAGGAACTGCTCCTCGCAGGACTCCCGCCTCCTCCCCCGTGGGGCCCCCGAGACCTGGGCTAAATCGGCCCTGGAGATCAGGCTCAGAGCAGGCACGTGCTCTAAAGGCGACCAACGATGCTATCTGGGACTCCTTTGGTTAGAAACTTGCAATAATATTCTAATTCATAATTTCACTACTTCATACCTAAGAATCCTACATCTTAGACGGGAAAGTTAAAATTTTTTAAATAAAATAACCGTGCCTGCCCTGGCTTAGTTGGTTGGAGCATCGTCCCATAACCGAAAGGTTGCGGGTTAGATTCCTGGTCAGAGGACATGCCTAGGTTGTGGGTTCGATCCCCAGTCTGGGCGCGTACAGGAGGCAACCAACTGATGTTTCTCTCTCCCTATCTCTGTCCTTTAAAGCAATGAAAAAATGTCCTCAGAGGAGGATTAAAAAAAAAAAATTAAAGTAATCGTGCCTGATGAGAAAATAGGATGACCAGAACCAGTAACTGAAGGGCTTTAAAACAACCTCTAAAACCATGTCTTCGAGTATCTAAATCCTAATCCGGGTTCTCCAGTAACACTAACGGCACTGCCTACATTCCTCTGAGTCACTCGCTCTGCCCCTGGTTTAGCCCCCTGCCCAATCAGAACACTGAAACCAGGCCTTGAAAAGGGAAGTAGCACAGCTTCGCCGTCCCAGCTCTAACATATAAGCAGCACGTTCCGTTCACGCTACGTGAGTTACCAAGAGCAAACGCTTCTATTCCCATCTAACACTAAGAAAGAAATTACGCTTTGTCGCCTAAGGTATTTGCCCGCACCCTAAATGGAAAGATGGCAGATGGAAAAGAAAAGTAAGGAAAGCGGATGAATGGAAAACTCAGAAGGAAAGGAAGGAGGGATCTGCATGCCATTAACCATTACTTTTCCAGTCTTCTTTACGCTCTCATATGCTATGGTGCTTATGGTAAAAGGTGCAGAGAAATCTCTCCAGCTCTTACAGGTCTTCATAAGCAAGAAGACTGAGAAAAGGATAATCATTAACAAGTCATTTTAAATGCTATGGATAAGAAATGGCGAAGTCGGATTCGTAATCATCTTAAATCATGAGAATATTCAATGTGTTGACCTTTCCCCTTCTACGCCCCTCACCAATCACAAATAACCCTTTTACCAAAAGATGGAAAGAATCATTCTCTGATTTAGCCATTTTCTGCTAACTCATTATTATACATTATTAATCACATTCACCAGAAAGAAGGCTTTGAAATCGGTAGTGTTTTAGGCCATTTGCAAATCTTCTCATTTGTTTTAGGCCATTTGCAAATCTTCTCATTTCAGGCATGGAAGAAAATCTCATGGAAAAAACCTATGTTTTCAAGATTTGCGGGTCTCAAGTTTCCTTATCTTGTGTGTTATTTAAAGCGTGCGTTCACACACACACACACACACACACACACACACACACACACACACACACAGTGACTCTGTGAGGTCCGGTCTGTTGTGGCAGCGACCTCTGAGGCTGCTGTTTAGTAACAGCAGGGCAATGGCTACTGGGAGGGACCTGGCTGAGGCGGCAAGCCAGTGGCAAGAGCAGGCAAGGCCCTTGGGGAGAAGACGCAGAGTGGGTTCCTGCCAGACTCTCTGCGCTGCGCCGAGGATGCTGGGAACGAGAGGGGCTGATGACCGAAGTGGCCAAAGAACCTCTCCCAGCCAAGACCTCGTGTTCCAAAGCACTTCCAGAAGAGTGTGTGTGTGTGTGTGTGTGTGTGTGTGTGTGTATATGTTTGAATGTTTTGCTTAAATAGGAGGGAAAAACAACTCGTCGTGGACTGGGCGTGAAGGTCGCGAAGACTCAGAGCTGGGCTTCTCAGCGTGGGCTCTTCCCCTGGGGGTGTGTCGATCACAGAGAAGTGCCTAAACCCTAACTTAGGATTTTAACATCTTGTATTGTCTTTCCAAGTAGTTCCTCTTATTTAATTTTTACTATTTTTTTTTAAAAATTATAACGTAAAGTTTAAATAACTATTTCTCTTAAGGGAGTCCATCTGTCCATCTTTATTCAGAATTTCTTGTGGAATGAACTAGACCAGGAAGCCTATTTCATTCCGTAAACTCGGGAGGTTATGAAAGACCTTTGCAGCAACATCTTAGCAGTAAACAAAGACTATATCAAAAGGAAAAAAGAGGAGGGGGGAGAATGAAGCCCCGAATGACGCTAAAAATAGCAGGGCTTTGATCTGGAGGCCAGGTTCACACTGCGTCGTCCGGGGCCGCAGCTGGAACACATTTAGACGGGCTGCTATCTGCGGGCACCTGGAGTCTGGATGTTTCCTGATGTGACTAAGTGATAACATGCCTTGGGCACGGGCACCACGTCTTACTCATCTTATGCCTCACAGAGAGGAGGTGTTCCTCCAATCCTCAGTGAATTAATGAGGATGGATACAAGGCAGGCAGTGAGCACACTGAAACTCCAGATTACTTGTTCATTAAAGCCCCGGCGGCCCACTGGCCGTGCCTGTTGCAAAAGACCTGAAAGACCTGTAAAGAGTGCATCACAGTGTCCCACGCCCTCCAGTGGGAGGTAACTGGGGACTGCGGAAAGGAGCTACCGTCAGTCTCTGAGTTCTCAACTCAGGGAGCAGGCTGAATATTCACACCAAGCTTCTCTGAATAAACATTGCCAGATTCTGATTCTTGGAAGGACCAGGCAATTCAGTTCATGAGACCTTTCCCCCTTCCCTTGCCCCAGCAGATCTTTTTAATCAGCGTCGCTTCTCTAAGTGAAATCCTCAGTTATTGAGGAACGTATCACATTTTTGGATTTCTCTAGCACCCTGGTTCTCAAACTAGCCTGCCCTGGGATCAGCTGGTGAAAGCAGGCTGCTGAGCCGGGCCCTCAGAGCCGCGCCCTCAGAGCCCCTGACAGAAGTCTGGGGGGCGGGGCCAGGTGGGGGGGGGGTGTTGAGAATCTGCATGCTGATGCTGCTGGCTGCAGAAGTCCTGCTCTCGTCTAAGAACCACAGGGACTTGTCCTTTCCTCCAAAGACAGAAGCTGAAAGTAGAACTGAGAACACAGCAGCTGCTCACTAAAACGGCCCCTCTGTTTTTGAAACGTTTTGCCACACACGTACATTTTTTTTTTTTGAGCAAAGGAAATAAAGAACTTTATGGGAAGGCACACTGAACGGCGACTAGAACCATCTCTGAAGTGTCTGATGGTGCTAATCGGGTGGCAAAGTCACCTGTGAAAAAGAGAATCACCCATATTTTGAGCCATCAGAAAAAGCACGCCCAGGCTGAAAGCTAAGACTCCTTCCCAGGTTTAATTAGAAGAAGGAAGCCTGTCATCCGGCCACTTAGTCGCCTGCATATTTAATCCGGGGACTTAGTAACGTTTCCCCTGTATGGCAATGCAGTTGAGTTTATGTGAAAAATCCAGGAATGCTAAACAAGCATCCTACCAATATTTTCACACAGTATTAAAAAAACACGTACAAATTAAAGTGTTGCGTGTGCTGTCTAAAGTAGTTAAAAGTGTGCTCAAAGACTGATGGGCAAACGTAGAGAATAAAATTAAAATCTGATGGCAAAAGGTTTGGGGATTCAACTTTGGTTATCATATCACATATAATCAAATGTTTCTTGTCGCTTCAATTTTAACCTTAAACATTTACTTACCTGAATATGTAATGTAAAAATTTCAACTAACTATGTTTACACAACTACTTTAGGATTCCTTCCCCCATCTGGAGATGAAAAATTACAAAAAAAATGAAAAAATATACGAAACTATGTCTGGCTGTGTACTGCATGAAGAATGGAACATAATCTGATATTCCTGCAACTGAAACAGGGCGTGAAAATGGCACTGCTTTCAAACTAGCAAATTAAAATAATCATTGGAATAAAAATATGGCCCACTTATGCAGGTGTAGTATCAGCTGCTCAAACCCTGAAATAAACAATAGTCTGACCTCGTCAAAAAACTGCTGAGTTTTGCGAAGGATAAATTTTAATTCAGTCAGTTCCAGGAAGTTTCTCTTCAGAGCTTCCTGGTTTGTGTTGATTTCCTTCAGTTCATTTTCAATCTTCTCAAAATTAGCCTGCAAAACATGAAAGGGAATCAGACTAGTGACTCACACTAAGCTCAGTGCTTTTGCTCTGGAAGATACAAATTCATCTGTCCAACAAAGGTTTTGCCACCCTGATGGAAATCTTATATTGACCCTGCAAATACGTTTTTTTTCCCAGGGCAATTTTCATTATGAAAAATTTTGTTTAAAATCATCTTTGGTTATATGTTCTATCATACATTTGGTTGCATGTCTCAGGGGACTTCAGATGGATAAAATAGATATTGAAATCTATTGGCTATTCATTTATTTAGCCTATGAGATTAATACATTACTAGATAAACTGATATTAATTCAATAAGGTTTCAATAAGCCAGTAAACATTTATTTAGTGGCATGTGATACTGTTCAACAGACTGTTCCATGCCATAAGAAAGAGACTTCATTTTAATCCCATCCACAAGAAATTTGCAATCGATAGGCAATGCTGACAAGGACAGGGAGAATTACTCTACTCTCCACCCACTCAGCAATTTCTACATTTCGGCAGCAACAAAGTTATCCGGCTTCTCCAGAATGTTTACCTCTAAGTCAATCATGTCGCGGGGGAAGGGCACCTCTGGATTTTCGCCAGTGTCCATAATTGGAATATTAGCTTTTCTTATCTCTTTCTCCACAAATCCTAAAATGACAGAATCAAAACATTCATGTATAGCACGTGCCTGGAATTGCTAGTATTTGAGGAAATAATAAGAAGATGCCAAACATGGCTAAAAAAGAACTTCATTCTAAGAAAGATACTTTTACATAAAAGAAGCAGAACATGTAAGTCCTTTTTTTTCTCTACATTCCTCTTTCTCCTACCCCACATCCTCTAACGCACAGCTACTCCAGAGAGGGCTATCATCCCACCACCGCCTTCTTTCCTCTTCTGATCTTCAAACTGGCCCACACTTGCTTCAGCTCTGCACCCCGTGTGACTGCTACCCCAGAGTAGGATGGTTCTGGCCACAGGTACTGCTGGCAAAGCAGAACTACGGAAGAGCCGATTCAATAGCATGTTTGAAAACTGACACACTAGCAGACAACTCTAGGGGAAAGGGTTGCATTACAATGGAAAAAGAGTTGTCTATGTCTGTTGAAACACAACAAACAAAAAGCAAGAGGCAGAATAAGACCCCAAAACATGAGAAAAATGTTGGCAACTACTGACATTTTTTTTTTTTAGGATGGGGAGCAAATTTACCTATTAGCTAACGGAGAGCTGGCAGAGTATAAGAGCAAGATCTTGGGATTTAGAGCCAGATGAGACAACCTGGATTCAAATACTGATTCCATCATGACCACTTACATTACTGGTCCAAGTCACTTAACCTCTCTCATTTTTGGTTTCCTCATTTATGACATGAAGTCAACACCCATCTTGAAGGAATGTTGTGGGAAATGAATGAAATAAGGTACGCAAACACCCTAACTCTCAATCGGACCTTAATAACGGTTAGTTTCTTCCCTTATACATAAATAGCTCAGATTAAAAAGCAGCTAGGCTGACATCTAAAACTGATGGTAGTCTGGGTTCCATTTCTCAGAATCCTATAATGCAATTCTACTCGAAAACCCTTCCCACAAGAAACAAAACAAAACAAAAAAACGGTATTTTCAGCTTACAGCCTTGTTACCTCAAACAAGGTTTCCACTAAGTACTACCTACCCCAAACACCACAAATTCTATCGCATACTAGAAATTCATCTTAACATCAGAACCACAAGATTCTTCCTCCTTTCTTTTTCTCCTACACTATTTCCTTTCTTGATTAAGACAAAGGACTCATTATAGGGCCAAAGTGCACATACGAAGCTTTCGATCCATTTCTTCACATCTTCTGACTTCATTCACGAATTTGCGCTGGAAGACATTCACATCTGGATTTAACTGCAAAATAAGAACACAACACCAAATATTCAAACATTGCATCTATTTCCTCTGTTTCACAAGCAACACATCCTGCGAAGTGAGAGCCGACTTTTGTGTCAACATATGACGCAACACACTGATCCACCTTGGAGCCAGCTGCACCAACGGAAGACAGAAACCCCTCCCTCACTGCCGCTGCATATTGGAGTGGAGGCAAATCAGACACAGCGCAGAACGCTCTTCCCAGGCCCAAAGTCTCGGGGAGTCCCCTCCTCAACACACCACCGAAGCTCTGGACCACTAATGTAATAGAAGCTGCCTGGTTCCCCGTCTCTCCTTCTTCCCAATCAGGAAGAAATGGAAGGCACACTTCTCTTGTTCTTCTCTTCCAGGTTTGTCACCTTCTAAGGGACAAGCTGGTTCACTCATTCACACATCACAAGTAATGTTCACTTCTAAAAAAAGTATTATCTTAATCTTCACCCAAGGGCATGTTTATTGATTTTAGGGAGGAAGTGGGGTTGGGGGGGAGAGAAAGTGAAACATAAACATCAATGTGAGAGAGAAACATCAGTTGGTTGCCTCCCACGTGCGCCCTGACTAGGGACCGAACATGCAACCCGGGCAGGTGCCCTGACCGGGAATCGAACTGAGTGACTTATCACTTTGCGGAACAATGCCTGACCAACGGAGCCACATCTGTCAGGGCAGAAAGAACCGTTTCTGTCAACTCTTGTCCTTAACGTTCATTAGAACAATGCTTCCATCACAAAATTATAGGTCATGTGTGTTTAAGGATTTATTTGTGAATGATTGTAATAATTCCCTATAAAAGAGCTTCGTGACAATAAGAAGGAATTAGTACTTAATAACAGATATATATGAAGCAACTTAAACGATTTATGAAATGATAATGAAAATGCTTAAGACCAGACTTTGTAGGATGCAGCTAAAGTGGTAGGGAAAATTATAGCTTTAATTGCATATAACAGAAAAGACTAAAAATTAATGTACTAAATGTTCAAATTCAAGATGTAACAGGAAGTAGAAAACAACCAAAAAAAGCAGAAATGAGGGAAAATCCCAGAACAAAACAAAGCCCCAGAGAAGATGCCCCAGGTCAAAAGCTGGTTATTTTTGCTTAATATTTTATGTTATTATTATTATTTTTTCTTAACAGCTGGTCATTTGAAAAGACAAAATGGCCAAAATGTTTGTAAGACTGAGAGAAGGCAGAAATAACTATACCAATAAAAAAAGGCAACAGCACATAGAGAAGATTTTAAAAATATAATACTAAAACCCGCTTTATGCCAATAAAGTCTCAGAAAATTTACATCATAAAGAAACTATTTTCTAGAACAATATAACTACTAAAACTAACTAAAAAAAGACAGAATGAACCTATAATCTGAAAACACCAGGCCTGCAAGGTTTAAAGACAGGTTCCACTAATCATTCACAGACCAGAGAAGCCCAAATCTTAGAAAAATGAAGGAACATTCCTCAACTAATACCTGAGATTGGCCCGTGTAACCCTGGTACCAAACTAAGATAAGAATTGTTTGAGAAGGGGTCTTTATAGGCTGATATCGCTTATAAATAATTTTAAAATCTTAATAAAATATTAGAAAACTGAAACCTAAATTCTTTTTTGAGATACACCTCATGACCGGTTAAGTTTATCCCGGGCTTGCAAGCATGACATTATGTTTTAAAAGAAAACTATACAAATGATGATGAGCATATGAAAAAACGCTCCCCATCGTTAGCCGTAAGGGAAATGCAAATCAGAACCACAGTGAGACACCGTTTCATACCCACTGGGGTGGCTGTAATTTTTCTTTTCTTTTTTTTTTTCAGGACTATAATATTCTTTTTTTGTTCTTAAAAGTGATATTTCTTTATTTTGTTTTATTGATTATGCTATTATAGTTGTCCCATTTCCCCCCTTCATTCCCCTCCACCTTGCACACCCCCTCCCACCCACATTCCCCCCTTTAGTTCATGTCTGTGTGTCATAAGTTCTGTAGCTTCTACATTTCCCATACTATTCTTGCCCTCCCCCTGTCTATTTTCTACCTACCATCTATGCTGCTTATTCTCTGTACCTTTTCCCCCTCTCTCCTCCTCGCACTCCCCTGTTGCTTGGTACATCATCCCCAAGCCCTTAGTATATGAAATGTTAAAGGGACTTCTCTAAGAAAAAGAAGATTAAAAAAAGCACGTATAGTAAAATGACAGCAAACTCACAATTATTAACAACCACACCTAAAGCAAAACCAAAAACAAACTAAGCAAACAGCTAGAACAGGAGCAGAACCACAGAAATGGAGATCACATGTAACTTTTCTTTAACGGAAAATAACAAGTGCTTGTGAGGATGTGCAGAGACTGGAGCCCTCGGGCATTGCTGGTGAGAATGCAAAACGGCGTGGTTGCTGTGGAAAGCCATCTGGGGGTTCCTCAAAAAGTCAAACCACACGATTACCACATGATCCAGCAACTCCACTCCTAGGTGTACTCATATATCCCAGAGAAGTGAACACAGGTACCCAAACAGATACTTGCACACAAATATTTACAGCAGCACTACCCACAGCAGCCAAAAGCATGGAAACACCCCAAGCATGTTCATCAGCTGCTGCTGCATGAACCAAAACAGGCGGAACATACACACCAAGGGTACTGAGAGACGACAGGGAAGGACACACTAACACGCACTGTAACACCAATGAGCCCTGAAAACATTATGCTCAGTAAAAGAAGGCGGTCACAAGACTACCTACTGTAGGGTTCCATTTATATACAGGGTGGGGCTAACTAGGTTTACAGCTATTTGTATAGCAAACAATACAATAATAAAAAGTAATGCAAGAATAAACTCTGTTTCTCGTACTCGCAACTGTATGCCTCCTTTTGCCCCACCCAGTATAATGTCCAGAGTGAGAAAATCCACAGAGAAAGGTAGATCAAGTGGTTGCCAAGGGTTAGGAGGAAGAGGGGTGACTGCTAATGGGTACAGGGCTTCTTTGGGGGCTGATGAAATGTTCTGCAACCGGATAGTGATGACAGTCGCACAACCGTGTAAATACACTAAAACCCACTGAACTATATATACACTGCAAGAGGGTGACATTTTTGGTATATCTCGATTAAAAAGAACACGGGCAGTGGAATCGGATAATCCCGGGTGCTAGTCTCTGCGTCCCTGTGGTGGTGGTTTCTATCTCCGCCACACGTTCCTAATCTGTCCGCGCAAGGAGAACAGCAGGCTGCACTGGTCAAAAGCAGGCTCTGCTTTGCAGGGCTGTCATGGGAGATGCCTGCGTAATAATGCAAAATGCTCAACATGACATCTACTGAAAGAAAGGTTCATTGTCATCATGTTTGCGTCAGACAGCAAGGGGCCGACGAGTAGGACAGAGCATGTCAAAGAGCAGGAATAGAGGAGGGAACATAAGAGATTTTGAACAAGTTGAGTGAAGGAAACGTGTCTTCTCAATTGTCTCTCTGCACCCAGTGTAGTATCTTTTGCAGAGAAGATAGGAGATACCAACTACTTCTTATATTGAAACCAACCATTTTAATATGTTGCATATTTTTGAATTTAAAAAAAACGGTGCAAAAAGGCAGAAAAGTACAAATACATATTATAACACAGATGAACCTTGAAAACATTATGCTGGTGAAGGCAGCAGTCACAAAAGACTCTTTGCAGCCCTGGCTGGCGTAGCTCAGTGGATTGAGCGTGAGCTGCGAACCAAAGTGTCACAGGTTCGATTCCCAGTAAGGCCACATACCTGGGTTGCAGGCCATGGCCCCCAGCAACCGCACATTGATGTTTCTCTCTCTCTCTCTCTTTCTCCCTCCCTTCACTTCCTTCAGTGAACCACCTGGAGCAGTGGAGGTTATCTAAAGTACAAAAGCCAACTGTCCGAGGATGGTCAGACAGACAGAGAGACAGAACTGATCTTAGGACACTGCTGACTGTGGGTCTGGGCGCCATGTTACAAGAGAAGAGTACACCCCTGTTGTTCGGGTTTTCGGTTACACTCAGCTAAACACAATCCTGACCAGCATGCGCGTGCTGCTCTTCAGCTGGTTCCTGAAGGCCGCAATGTGTACGGTGAAATGAGGGGAAAGAAAGAACAGGGTAAGGATTTGAAAGGAAGAAACAGCTTGCTCTGTAACCGGCGCAGTAAAAAAGATCGTATCCAATGTGACAAAGTGTCAACAACCGGTGAATCTCCATAAGAGCAGTCAGGCTGGAAACTTTTCGAAATAAAATGTCTAGGAAGAAAAGTACCAATGTGCAAAAAAGAAAATGAAACTTTATGTATGACAAAATATACTATAAACAAAGGGAAAAAAAGACAAGCGACGGCCTAGCACTTATCAGTAAAGGTGAGAAAAAGGTTCGCTTCCACAAGGTATGAAGAACTTTTACAAATCCTGTAAGTTAACAAGCAAAAGACAAGCAAACCCCACAGCAAACAGGTAGAGGATGCGGACACTCACGGAAAGTGAAACCTATGATGTCCAATACACAGATAAAAAGATATCAAATGTGCTAATCTAGAAAATGCAAAATGAGACAGCAAGACACCACGTACCACCCACTGGGTGGGTGAACTTCTTTAAGTCTGAGCACAGAGGTGCTGACACAGTGGCGGAGTGCCGCCAGGGGAGCGGGGAGAGACGCATGCGCCGTGAAGTGCACCGTGCCGACACCCAACAGCCAGAGACGCACAGCGCACGCCGCAATGCCCGTCCTGGTTATATCCCCGGAGGGGCGGCAGGTCGCTGTGCTCCACACCATTTTCACAGCCACCCTAAGACCTCATGTGCCCTTTTCATTCTCACGGTCTCATGAGTGTCCGGCCGAGAATTCCAGAGTCACGTGGTGTCTCCACAGCAGACTGACTGCAGAAGCCAGTGAGACTCCAGCTTTCTTCCGTTAACTCAGACACTAAGAGGCTTTCAAAAGTGTAGAAGCAATACCACTCTTCTCACTGATTTTTTAAAATATAGCTATTTTTTACAAATATGTTATGATAACAGAGTTTTTTTATAATTTTTAAATGATTTAATAAATATTTTAAACATTTCTCAGTTTTAATTTCTAATTCAGTAACTATGAATAGCTATAACTCACATAAATACCCTTTAGGGATCTCTCTCTCTCTCTCTTTTTTTTAATTAAAAGATTTTATTTATTTATTTTTAAAGAAAGGAGAAGGGAGGGAGAAAGAGAGGGAGAGAAACATCAATGTGTGGTTGCCTCTCGTATACCCCCCACCGTGGGACCTGGCCTACAACCCAGGCATGTACCCTGACTGGGAGTTGAACCTGCGATGCTTTGGTTTGCAGCCTGCGCTCAATCCACTGAGCCACACCAGCCAGGGCTTATTTTTTTTTTAATTTTATGAGTTTAAAGAAGTCTTTAGACCAAAATGTTTCAGAACCACTATCCTGGAGGAACTAGCGAAGACAGTTTCACCAGGAGACATAGACAAGAATTTTCATTGCAACATTGTAATAGCAAAGAACTGCAATCAATCTAAACATTCATCAGAAGGGAATAATGATAAATTGTATATTCTTACAAGAACTATATAGCAATTTCAATAAAAGAACTAGCTGCAAGTACCAACATGGTCAAACCTCACAAATGTTAAGTTTAAAAAGCGCCTGCTGAAGGATACATACGAAATTATACTATATATTATTTAGTGATACATACATACATAGCAAAAGTGAAAAATACAAGCACATGGGAATGATAAAAGCAAAAGTCACTGTAGAAAGTTACCTCTGGGGAGGACGGGGGAGGAATGCATGGCAGGGACCTTCAATTATATGTGGAATGTTTATCTCTTAAGTACATAGTACAAATATAGTTATTCATTATATTACTCCCTGTAATTTTTTGTACGGTTGAAATACATCATAAAAGTTAAGAATGCTGAGTGGACCGAAAGGGTGTTAGAAAGGGAGACACTGTAGGATCAGATGAAGGACTGCAAGTTAAGGATGATTTAGATTTGATTTAGGTTTCAAGTCTAGAAAACTGGGAGAATATCAGTGCCTGATATTCTCAACCTCGGGAAGTCAGGAGGAAGAAACAGTTGGTGAAAAGGTAAGGTGCTGGGATTTAGATGTTCTAGCTTGAAAAGCAGGGACCTAGTCCTAGAGAGTATAAATTCAGAGAAGGTACATGGGAGGTCGGGGCCAGAAATATAGATTTGGGACTCACTGAATAAAGATGGAAAATTTGAGGACAGATGAGATCACCTGCCTCCCACCACCCCCCCCACCAAAAAAAAAACAACGATCAGTGAAGATGCGGGTGTGGAGGAGAGCGCTTAGGGAACACTGACCCCAAGGGCAGGGTGGAGGAGAAGAAAGAGGGGCTGGTGGAAGAAATCAAGAAGGTCTCAGAAAGGTAAGAAAAGGGACCAGGGATCGGGTCAGAAGGGATCTCCGAAAGAGATGGTATAAAAAGGTTCAAGTTCAAAGACTATGTCACTGGATCCTCTTTGTGCAGTTCCGGCTCAGACCAAGAACTTCCTGAAAGCCGCCAGCTTCAGGAAGCCAGCATCCACAAATCTCCCACTTTGCTGACCGCTCCTCTTTTTTTTTCCTCTTTTTTTCTAAATGTGATTGTTGTTCACGTACAGTTGTCTGTCTTTCCTCCCCAATACTTCCCCCCCCTCCCCGCCCCAGCCAGCCCCACCTCCCTCCCCTGATTCCACCCCCTCTGGGTTTTGCCCATGTGTCCTTTATGGTTGTTCCTGAAAACCCTTCCCCCTTGACCACTCCTCTTTCGCCTATCCATTCATTCCAGCAAATACTGATTGAGTGTCTTCTACGTGGGCACTAAGGATAAGATATTGAATGTCTCTGTCTTCGTGGTACTTAGATCATAGGGGAGGGAGACTTTAATCAACTACTCACTTGGATGAATGTAGAATCACGACTATAACGTATGCTGTCAGTGGGAGGTACATGAGCTTTGAGGTGGTCTAGTGGAGAACTGTTTCCTGCCCCCCTCCTTTTCAGCAGCATCTACCAGCTTGTAAGCCCCACAGGGCGTACTTTCTTATACGCTCAGACTGTCCATTTCTTTTGATGTCTTCTCCAACTTCCCAGCATAACGCTTCAGAATAATGGGGGTTCAGTATATGTTTACTTCTGTACTATACATCTGTAACTGGGCGTTTCAGATCTTGTAATAAATACGTCATGGTATATGGAAGAGCTATGAAGAAATCTCAGTACCCTGCTATGGGTGTTAAGGACCCCCAAAATAAAGTGCAAGCCTTGAACAGGTTAGTGTGGTGTCCTCCACCTGCATCCCAAGCAATTGCCTTGAGAATGCTTAGGATTATTCTCAAAGAGCGAAATAGTAAAAACATAAAAGGATCGGCACATGACATTCTCAGCTCCAGAAAGACAACTCAAAAAACTGTACCAAAAACAAGGCGGGGGTAGAAACGGGGAGGGCTGGGGGGTGGGTGGGTTGGGATGGGAGTAAAAGGCAGAAGACTGTACTTGAACAACAATTAAAATAAAAAAAAACTGCAATAGTAAGCTGTGTTATAATGTTATTTTTTGCAAATAAAAAGCAAAACATTCATCATAAGGCGACTGGCCATAACAAGAAAAATACAGTTCCGTGGTAATCCAGGAGCAACCCACAACCACTTACATCACGAAACTGAACCTTCCCGAGTTCTCCTAGTTCACTGACGCAACAATAAGCCGCTTCTGACTGTAGAAAAAGCTGCGCCAGCGTCATCTCCTCACTCCGGAAAAGTTCCCCCATGGCGCCAGACAGTACATCAACTGAGGACCTGGCTTTCTGTCCAACCTGAGGAAAAAAAGAAAAAATTACATGACCTTGGAAAGTACTCAGAGGGCTAACAGCAAACAACAGCCCAGGAAGTCTCTTCCGCTTTGCATGTCATGGATTCCTGCTCATGCTGACAGGTCTTTCACCACTGTTTTGACATCCTGCTTAGAACGATGGAAAGGAGAAATTGCTGAGGCTGTCTGTTACTGGATCCTCTTCCACAGAGGGCCTGATGAAAAGCCACTTCCTTTGCAGTCAAGATCAGGATCAAATGACAATATTTTGGGACCTCTCAATACATAAGAATGTATCCAGATTAAAAACAGGAACTGGGAATCCCAAACAGCTTTTGAATACCCTGGACACAGTATTATGAAGCAGTGACATTCACACTGCTCTGCGTGGTCTTCCCCTTGCGTCAGAAACAGAATCACTCACGTTCTACCCTCCTCTGTCCATGTGCATTCCTAACAGCCCAAGTCCCAGCATTACTCTAAAGCTATGGCTACCTCGAAGAGTTTAACCTTCCAAATTCCCCAGAAGGCACCATGTCCTCTCTAAAGAATCTAAATACATAATTATTATCTTAGAAAAATAAATAAAAAGGAACCAGCTTGCATATTATGCTCAATTTCAAGTCAAGCATAACAGGAATACACTGGTAATGACAAAGCAGTTTTATCAAGCCACCGAGAATAAGCTTTCCACCTCTGAAGCTTTCTGTTTCTTATCCCCACCTTCAAGATTAATTACATTGTCCCATCTGTTCAAGATTCTCATACATGAGCCAAAAAAGGTTTTGTTTTAGGGCCGTCGGGTCGCTGCCAGGTAAGAAAGACAATTTGCGCTATCAGTGGTCCTGAAACTGCAATTATTTTATTCTCCATCAGCTATTGTGAGGCACAGACTGTACCCTCTAAACTCAGCAAAACGTACAGTATTTTTAGTATCATGAGCGCATCCATAATGATAGGTGAAGCTGGCATCAAAGGGAGAATTACTCTTCGGGAAGGCTGGGAGACATTTTGAGAAATTTGAATGACAAAGCCTTTGTGCATTTGATGTTCAAGGCAACAGAACAACACACTCAGATATAAGCAAGAGATTATGTAGCTCGACTTCATGACTGTTTATACCTGAACCATCCAAATCAGCTGTTACCGGTCCCCAACACACATCGCCCTTCAATGATGGGATAGATTCCACAATCTCTAAACACACAAAATTACGCCTGATCAGCATAGTTCAGAGGCTGCCAATAATGACAGCCCACAATGAGTTGCCTCCCTCCTGTTTTTTAACGATTATGAGTCTCCCTTGAACATCTCTCCGACCGGAGCCAAACAGAAAACCACAGGCCAAAGCGATTAGGGGAATGGGGGTGGGGGGTGGGGGGGCTGTCACCAAACGAAGTAAGAAAAAACAGTAATTCTGCACGAGATGAATCCAAATAACGCGTCCTCGCGCACGACCTGTCACCCAATCCTCACCTAACCAGGTATTTAGATTCACCTGCTTCATTTCCTGTCTACCCGGTGAGTCCAGGCACACCTACCTCCTTAAGCAGGGACCAAAAGGGGAAAATCCTCAAGTTGGGACCACCTTTAAGAAGCCCCCCCCCCAAAATTCTTCGGACATCCCAATAACCTTCAGTTCCTCCGCATACCCCTTAAATGGGGGAAGGGATCACGGCCACTATAGGGGAGAGAATCTCCAATTCTTCTGTCCACAAGAGGGGTATCCAAAGAGGGGTGTCCAAAGAGGGCTGAACCCACATCTCCTTTCAGAGACCTAAGATCCCTGCCAATTCCTTTGACAAGCGAGGGGGCTGCCAGAAGGATTTCCTGTGCCCCTCGGAGGCCGTTTCCTGCCGCGCTCTACCTACAGCCCCCGCTCACCTCCAGCCGCCAGCGGGGCCACTACCAAGGCAGTCGCGGTAGACCCAACCCGCAGTCTCCCCAGCTCTGGGCTGCAGCGCCTGGACGTGAGTGCGTCAGCAAGGCCCCGCCCCCGCGCCGCCGGCGGACCCCGCCCCTAAGATAACCTCATTGAAGTGGGCCAATAGGGTGCGGCCTCCGTCAGCTGCCGCGATGGGTTTACGCCATCTTGTCCGTCCTGCGGGGGATCCGGGCCCGGGAGGATGGATGGGTGGGGCCGGCGGTGCAGGTACCCGAGGCCTTGGGTGCCCGAACCCTTCCGAATCTCTTTCCTCTAGCACTTATCCTCCAGGCGAGGCTCTCTGCTCTCTTTGTTGTCATATTCAAAGAATCAGTGCACGCCTGTGTCTCCTCGAGGGAAGTGGCCTAAAGGAAGGGGAGAAATCATTTCTACGAAAAGACCCGAGAGGCGGAGGGGAGCTGGAAAGCGCAGCCAGCCCTCACACACACTCTTCTCTTTAGTTCGCAGAACAGAAAGTGTGAGCCCTAGAGTGCGGAGCGCCTGGCGAACGGCACGAGAGCTTGCAGCAGAGCCCCCAACAGGGGCTCCCCTCTTAACTACGGAAACCCCCCCTTTGAAAAGGTACTTGGTTCAGTCCCTCCGGCACCTGGACAGGGTCTGTTTTTCCTCAATTAACAGCGGGGAAAAAATCCCTAAGACCGTGATTTGTATATCTTGTTTGGTTGATGCCTGCGGGCCCATTTGACCACATCAGGGGTTTCTATTCCTCAAAAGTTTTAAAAGAATAACTTGGTTTTTTTTTTTTTTAAACCACACAAGTGATGCCAACCCGTTTTTATAAAAACGACGTTCCCGAATATTGATCTTGATTCCTTTGTCTTGACATTTTAAAGGGGGGCAAGGATCCCCTGGCGTTAGTAATAACTCACACCGTATCAGGAAAAACTGGGAAAACCGGTTATTCCGTCGCCGTGGGTGGTGGAACCCTGCTGAGATTCAAAGTGTAACGAGGGAGACATTTCACATAAAAACCTGGTGCTGATAAGTGTGCCTGACAGTGAAGTCCTCCATCCTGCTTTACCAGCCCAAACGAAACAGGGACGGGCAGAAAGACCATTTTAGTTGATTTCTCTAGTTCACGTTGAGAGTGAAAACAATTGAACTGCGTTACGATTTAGCTGAGAAGTAGCACCTTGGAGAGCCCCAGATCGTCCCTTTCACTGGTGAACTTAAATGCTCTCTCGCGCTCGCAACTTTCCCAGCAAGGTCGAATCCCACATTTGAAAGGGTGTCAAGTTTTAGAAACCTCAGGCAATAACGGTCATTTCCTTTCTCTGAGCCTTAAAAAAAAAAAAAAAAACACCAAAAAACATTTTTTTTTTTAAATTTCAGAGTCAGCTGCATTGCAAGCACCAATTTTTCATACTCTACCTTTAAGACACCCTTTTATTTGAACACAGCTTAATTCCCTTGAACTCTCTTTTTTCCCATGGCTTTCTTGAAAGTATACCCTCCAGAGCTCCTTTTTCTGTCTCCTTTCATCTCCCACCCTCAGTCTTTCTAGTTCTGTTACCGCCGCGATCTCTTCCTTAGCAGCCCTGCCTGTTGTCAGGTGTAAGTGTCTGTGTGTGGGACTCACACCTACTTTTTCCATCCACCTCTCTTTCCCAAGGCTCAGAGACAGAGTTCCAGGCTGCCGAAATAATGTCATTCAGGCAACAAATGCTTGCTGAGGCCCTCGTATGTGGCAGACATGATCCTAGGTGCTGGGGATAAGAAAATGAAACAGACACATTTCCTATCTTAAAGCAGCTCACGGTGCAGTGAGAAATAAAGTTCTAATAATTGAGAGAGACAGAGATAGATAGATACTGCAGATTAGATAGAGACCAGAGGTGTGAGTGCAATGGTTAATATTTACTTTTAACCATTATTTACTTTAATATTTACTTTATGAGCCACGCACTTTTCTTAATGCTGTGTAAATAGGATCTCATTTAACCCTCACAACAATACTGGGAGGCAAATACTATTATTATCCCCATTTGACAGATGATGGTGATGGTGCAACTGAGGTACAAAAATTTGCGCAAAGCCACTCGGCTGATCCACGGCAGGCCGGGAACACCCAGTCAGTCTGTCAGCATTTGCCGTGCCCTTGTGTACTGCGCTGTTTGCCTCTGGGAAGGGTGCTGTCCCTGAGCCCACCCTCAGTTCAGATCTTGGTCTGCCACTTAATGTCTGTAACCTTAAAACGCTGCAAGCCCCTCTTTCCTCGTCCGTAAAATGCAGTTAATAATAGTACTGACTTCATATGGTTATTTTGGGAAGTAAAAGGAACCTAGCACATTCTTGACACTGTCTGCATTTTTAAAATGTTAGCTGTCATGATCATGGTCATTCTTATCATTGTCATTGACGTACAAACTACTGTACAATGGCCCTGAGGGTGTCAGAAAAGCTTACATGGAGGGGGTGACAGGACAGCAGAGTTGTGAAGGATTAGAGCTCTCGTTAAATAAAACCTGTCCCTTCCCCTGAGATCCTTAATCCTGCTGATGACATCATTGTTTTTTGTAATTACCCAGGGTCCAAGCTTAAGTCATCTTTAATTGCACTTTTTTCTTTCCACATTTAGTTGCCACGCATGCTCACTGTGGGTCCTGCATTTATTTCTTGCCTTCACCCCCTTCATGCGTTCTTGTTTTCACTGCCAATAACCCAGTGCAGGTTCCTTTGCCTCTCTCAGATAGCTGAAGAAGTAGCCTGTGGGGGCGGCGGCGTGGTGTGTAGTGGACCGTGGCCTTTGTACCATCAGGAACTAGGCGTGGGTCTCATTTCCTGCACTCGGCCCACCTGATGTCAGATGCAAGAGAATGAATCTCGGCTCTAACAGCTACATGGTGTGTGACCTGGAGCAGTTTGTTCACTTCCTTGAGCTTCGTTTTTCTCATTGGGAATCTCATGAGATTTTTCTGTTTCCTTTTATAAAACACAGTACTTTCTACATGGCTTTTTTTTCTGGTACCAAACTATAAACTCCTTCTCTTCCCTAGCACTGGGCCTACTCATTCAATAGTAAGTTTCTTGAATGAACGTGTGAATGGATAGATGACCGTGAAAGAAGTGGGGCCCACTAGTAGGAATCTACCACCCCCAAAAGAACACAGGTATCACACAGAAAGGAGTATGACCTCATCCTGCCTCTTCTCTATTCCCTTTGTCTTACGAACTTCATTATCTGTGGGGAGGAGTGCTCATGGCAGATGCTCGGGTGCTTGTAACAAAGACGTGAAGGACAGCCGGCAAAGGTTCGGCACGGAAGCCAGAATCAGAAAATGGCTGTGGAGTCAGTGAAAACTGCAGGATCGTCAGCCTCAAAAAAACAGTAGTGCTGGTGTCTGCGTTCCATTTACAGTTCTCAAATTTATTCTACACTGAAGCATACCCATGAGGGAAAATGCTCTTTAAGTTCCATGAAGAGTACTTTTATTAAAAAATCCAAAATCATCAAAAATCCAACATTCCCTTTAACAAATGTCTATTAAGTGCATGCTTTATACCAGGCATAATGCTGGAGACTGGAAATGCAAGGATGAACAGGAGCTCAGCGTCTGTTGTGGAGACCGTCAAACAGCTAGCTGTAGTATATAATATGTAAGATAGCAGCAACTGGAGCAGAAGTGTATGGAAGCCCAGAGAAGAGCATTTTGAATCCTGTCTGGCCTTGGGAAAGGCTTTAAAAAGACATGACGTTTGCCCCCCAGCTGGTGTGGCTCTGTGGATTGAGCACCAGCCTGTGAACCTCAAGGCTGCCAGTTTGATTCCTGGTCAGGGCACGTGCCTGGGCTGTGGGCCAGGTTCCCAGTTGGGGGCCAGTGACAGGCAACCAATTGATGTATCTCTAGTACATCAGAGGTTTTCTTCCTTTTCTCCCCGCCTTCCCTGCTCTCTAAATAAAATCTTAAAAATATTAAAAAAAAAAAAAGACATGACATTTGAGATGGGTATAGATAGGTGGATACAGATACTGATTTTTTTTGTTTTAAATTTTATTTAAAGTGTCAGGCTGTATTTAAAAAAAAATAAAATTCTAATTTCAAAAAAGTTCTTCAGAGCAGGGTGAGCAGTTCATTTCCATTATTTCTTCTACTTGTTATTAACAAGGAGACTACAAAAGAAGAGAAAATAAAGAATTATGCTTCCCGGAGCTCTTCTGCACGCCGGCTCACTCCTTTGGGCCAACTCCGCCCCATGGGAAGACCTGAAACGCTGAAACAGGCCCCACACCAGTCCCAGTCCGTGAGCGTCAGCATGGATGGGAAAAGCCAAGCCTTGAAGGTGCCAGAGACACGCAAACTCAGCAGCAGAACAGACAGTAGGGACAGGCCTGGCCCTGCCCCTCCTCCACACAGTTCTGAGGACCGGGGCTCAGCCTGCGGCTTGGCCAAGGTCAGACAAATCAGCTCCCCTCAGGAAGAAGTCAGTTCCTGACTCTCCACAGTGTCTCTCTGGGGGACCAATGTCAGCCCCGTTGGCTCCCTGAACAGGTGAGGGCTGGCACCACTTAAAACACCCTTCCAGGCTCCAGGACCAGCCTGCTACGCCCCTGCTGTTGGATCTTTTGGTGCTCCCGGAAGTGATGCTTCTGGACAAAGCTCCTTTCACACTCGGTGCAGCTGCAGGGCTGCTCAGCAGTGTGGATGCGTGGGTGCTGCACCAGCTCCGACAGGTGGCTGAAGCTCTCGCCACAGTAACCACAGATGAGGGAACTGACTTTTCCTTCAGGGCATGTGGCTGGACAGAGCAACCAGTTTGTTGGGCAAGAACGTCTCCTGGACATGATGGACACCACCGATACCCTCCTGCAAGTGGCAGTGCTGGTGGGTGACCAGGCTCACCCTGCAGCTGAAGTTTCTCATGCACGCCTCACACTGATTCTGGTTTGTCCTCGTAGACTGGGGCTTCAGCTGTGACCTGCGCCTAAGGCTGTCCTCTAGCTCTGAGGCAGAGAGAGACTCCCACCCTGAGTGGGTCCGCAAATAGGTGGCCAGCTGCTCCTCACAGCGGAAGCTGATCTTGCACTCAGAAGGTTCGTAGGAAACGGAGGTATCCTTTTCCAGCTTCAGGCCATGCCCACATTCCTGACCCAGTTGCACCTGCCTATTAAATTTCTGCTTCAGGGGGCAGCCCAGACCTCTGTCACTGCCAGGGTCTCTGCTGCCCTCAGTGGGCTCCTCTGCATTAGTGTCCCTGGGATCTGAGTCCAGGAGGACAGAACTGCCCTGACTGCCCCAGAGCTCAGTCTGCTGCAGGGCCAGAAGAGCCTGCTCCTTTGCAGTGCCTGAGAACGCTCCAGGAAGATCCTCAGAGCATTCCCGTGGGCAGGCTCCAGCAAAGCCTTCCTCCTTCAAGTCACCCAGCATCTTTGCACCCAGCTCCGCTTCTCCTTCTGGCTAGCCAAGGACCTTAGAAGACACCAGAGTCTCACAGTTGCTCATCATCACATTTCTGTAAAGCTCCTTCTGCCAATCCTCCGGATTCTCCTACTCCCACTGTGAAAAACAGGCTCCGTTATTTTTTGAGCGACCAGGACACCTTGGGCACCTCCCCCGTGCTGCCTGGGGGCAGCCGCACAACCCAGAAGTTTCTGTTCTTCCTCAGGTTCTCCAAGTCCTCTAGCCACTCTGCAGCAGGCTTCCCAGCACAGCCCACCTGCTCTCCAGCTGGTTTCCAAAATCCATGGTGGTCTTCTTGAAGTCAGCCAAATTCTCAGCTGTCCCCGTGTGTCTCTCCAGGTTCTGTAGCTAGGCAGCCTGCGACTCCATCTTCCTCTCCATTCCCTGAATGGTGGCCACCACTCTGTGGAGTGAGGTCTCTGTGGTCTGAAACCAGGAGCCTTTCCCTGTTGCTCGTGGGGGCAACGTGGAAGGAGTCAAAGGCGAGGAGGCGCTTCCCCCTGTGCTGAGCCAACGCAGATTCCGCTGTGGCTGCCAGTCAGTCACTTGTCAATAGTGGGGCTCTGCCTGATGCCCTTCCTACTGCCTCGAAGGCAGAGTTTTATAAAAGAATACAACTTCAGAAGTCAGACATAAATCATTCTTATAAAAAGCAAAGTAAGCCCTGACCAGGTAGCTCAGTTGGTTAGAGTGTCGTCCCAACACGCCAAGGCTGAGGGTTCAATCCCTAACCACAAATTGACATTTCTCTTACTCAAATCAATAAATAAAAAAAAAAATTTAAGGGCAAAATAAATGTGAGAGACAGAATATTCCCACTGAAATGGGAAAAAAATAATAAACAACCAAAGAATGAGAAATTTCCACTGAAAAAACTAGGAAATAAGTATTTTTTAATGTTGGGGCATTATTTGAAGTTTGTCCATAATCTTCCCTTATACTTTTAACATTTGCCTTCTGGTGTCCATTGATTAGGATGAGAAGTCAGCCATTAATCTTATTGTGGTTTGCTTGTATGTGATGAATCATGAATGACTCATTTCAAGATTTTCCCTTTTAATAGTTTTATTTCAGTGTGTCTAGGAATGAATTTCTGAGTTTTAAGATGGGTATTGAAGGATGAATAGAAGTTTGTTCCCAAGAGGAGACAGAAATAGTACAAATATTAAGACTCAAATCCGATTTTCTTTTCATCACAGTCAGCATATATGCTAACTTAGCCCAAAACTGATTAAAATGTTTTGATCCAGAATAATCAGGCATTTATGTTGATTTCGCCTGTAGCTACCTATATGCTTCTGTAGGAAAGAAAGGAAGTATAGAAGGAAGGAGGGAAGAAGAGAGAAAGTACCTTCTGTGCTCCATCTGTCTGCCACCTGAACAAATACAGCATACGTTCAGCAGGATCAAGTACCAAATGCTGCTGACCACGCAGTCCTAGAAGACATGAGCACTGTAATTCTGGGTGTCTGAATGGAGCTATTTCTCAGCGTCGGTAAAAATGTCTAAGCAGTAGGCACAAAAATTAGCGTTTTACTACCAAGACAAAGCAGAGAACAGAGGCACTGATTATAAAAATTATGAAAACTTTTATAAAATGATAAAAAGTGTCATTTTAGTGAAATGATTAAAATGGTTTTCCTACTTTTTCAGTTTGAACACACAGCAATCGTCAAAATGTCCACAAATGAAGGGTCAGCTCCTACTTGCTCATCCAACCTAGATTCCTAGATGGGGCCCGCAGAAGAGTGAAAGTTAAACCAAGTGTTTTGAAATATGTTGCTTAAGTGCCCTTTTTTTCCATATGCTTCCTGTATTAGTTTCAGGGGGCTGTTACACAAATACCATAAACGGGGTGGCTTAAAACAGCAGGAATTTATTCTCTTAGAGGTCTGGAGGCTAGAACTCTGCAGTCAACATGTCCACAGGGCCATGGTGTTTCCAAGGAGTGTCTAGGGAAGAATCCTTCGTTCCCTCCCCCTATCTCCTGATGGTTTCCTGCGATCCTTAGCCCTCCTTGGCTTCAGGATGTGTCACTCCAGTTGCTGCCTCTTTCACAAGGCATTCCTCCCTCTGTCTGTATCTGTGGCCACATCTTTCTCTTCATATAAGGGCACCAGTCATTGAGTCAGGGCCCACCTTAATCCAGTATGACTTCATCTTACACTGTTTACATCTGCAAATACACTCTTTCCAAATAAGGTCATATTCACAGGTTGCAGGTGGACGTGAATTTTGGGAGAACATTTTCAACCCAGTATACTTCCCTTACCAATGTTGGGAAGGAAATTTTGTTTTGCATGATTTTTCAGCTGTTCACCTACAAGTAGTTGGCAGCAACCAGTAAAATTTTTATTTAAAATTTTAATTCCTTTTGTCTGAAATCTTTGAGATGCCGGTAGCTCAGTTTAATGATTGTCTAGTCGAATTATGTTTTGTTTTTCCCTTTTATGTGAAAAAGGAGCTCTAGTTCTTAAACTATTCTCCCAAGGATCTCCCAAGGACTTGAGTGCTGGATGCGAGAATTCTCCTGCCACAACCTTTAGGTGACCTGTGCTCACTGTGAGTGACTGTCGTCCTTCAAGTGCTGGCTTGCAGTTTGTGTTCATAGAGGTAGTTTCTTTTGTGGTTTCCCGTCCGAGTTCCTCTAAAGAACACCTTGTTTTTACTTTCAAAGGCTGCCAGTGTTTAAAATAAAAGTCTTTTGGTAAAAAGTAAAATTGTGTCCATAATAGATTTTGAGGCTTCCTTTGGAGTTCAAAGAATGCCAGCTTCCTTTAGCTCTGTTAATGATTACATCTATAAGTAGACAGGAATGAGCCTAAGGCATGTGACATTTTCTGCAGCCCTCCAGGCTCTTGTGACCAACACATGAGGCAAAGAGCCTTTAACTCCAGGAAGTTAAGAAAGCCATGAAAGAGGCTTCTTTAAAGAAATAAAATCTAGAAAACACGAGATGGGAAGAAGGGACGGAAAGGTTGACACAGGGCAGAGAGTCCTGTCTAAGACATTAGACCTGAAGCATTTGCCCGAGGGAGAAGAAAAAGGAACTAGTCCGAGAAGGAAGGGTTCTGAAGTCCAGAGTCCGGCAGATGCTTCTGTGTTGGGTTCCTGGTGACTTAGAGAGAGGAGGTTGTACCTGCAGTGAGGAAATACATGGGAAAGTTCCAATAGGAAGGGTCTGGTTGATTCAGTGGTCAAGGGGTAGATTAACTTGAACTGTTGTATTTCCACTGCCTGGCTTAGTGCCTGGCATTCACATATACCTAATAAATATTTTTGAAAGAAAGAAAACAAAGCTGGAAATGTACTTTCTTAACGTGGGACAAACTGATGTGGGTTCTTTGTAACCATGCACTTATTAAGGCTGGAGATTGCTATGCCTTGTAGTTGAGTTGTTTTTGTTTTCTAAAAAGTCTGCTGGGCCGATGTGGTATCTTAAGGAGGGAGCCGTGGGAAGGGTGTCTGCAGGAAACGTGTGGGAGTAAGGACATGGTCTTCAGAGAAGAAAAAAATTTTAAGGGAAGAAGTTATCTGAAAGAAAACCTTCAGTTGGATAGTGTCTTGAGCACTATTCGTTTCTTTTTGCTTGGAGTTTTAGAAACTCTGAATACAGATGAACAATTTTTTCTATTTAAAAAATATCATTTGGGACCCAAAAAATCTTCCGGTAACATGCATAGCCATTGCCAACAATATGTTTGAGTAGAAATGTGAGGTAAGTAAATTTTAGGAGCTTTCCGATCAACTTTTACATGCCTCTCTTCAATTCTTTTTTTTTAAATCCTCATCTGAGGATATATGTATTGATTTTACAAAGGAAGCGAGAGAGGGAGAGAGGGGAGGGAGAGAGAGAGAGGGAGAGAGGGAGAGAGAGAGAAACATTAACATTGATCAGTTGCCTCCCTTCGGCACTCCTACCTGGGGATCCAACCCATAGATGCCTGACCAGGGTCAAACTTGCAACCTGTTGCTGTACAGGACGGCGCTCCAGCCAGCTGAGCCACCCTGCCAGGGTTCTTCAGTTCTTTAACTCAACACAAAGTTTGGGGCTTGACAGGACCTAGGCCCAAGTGTAAGAAATTGGACAAGGAACCTAACTTGAAGGAACTCAGAATCTATGATGCAATAAGGATTTTATCAGCAAAATATGGGTAGTGCGTGGATAAAGGCATCACTAGTTATGCCTGGAAACCTTTACTGAGAAGATTCAATTTGAGTTGCGTCCTAAAGGAGGAGAGGTGTTTGCCTGTTCACTATGAACCTGGTCTGTTTTTTGCCTGCTTTGCACACTGGGAGTGATTCCACCACCTCTCTGCAAAATAATTTCCTTCAAGACTGAGTTGAAGATCAATCTCTTAATAATGACAACACTATATATCAAATTTTATGGGCTATCACTAAAGTTACACTGAGTGAATGAGAAAAATAATCATAGGTTTAAATGTGTTATTAAACAAGAAAGAATTAAGGTAAATTATTATTATTTTAAGGATGTTATTTATTTTTAGAGAGAGGGGAAGGGAGGGAGAAAGAGGGAAACATCGATGTGTGGTTGCCTCTCTCTCACCCCCTACTGGGGACCTGGCCTGCAACCCAGCATGTGCCCTGACTGGGAATCAAACTGGAGACCCTTTGGTTTGCAGGCTGGCACTCAGTCCACTGAGCCACACCAACCAGGGCGAATTAAAGTGAATTAAATAAGCATAAGTCAACATGTTTTAAAAACACAACAAAATAAACCCAAATAAGGCAAAAAGAATTACTAAAGTCAAAATAGCTTAAAGGATAACAAAAATAAGAGCTAGTTCTCTTTGAATTCCAATAAAAATAGAAAAACATCTGGTAAAGTAAGAGACTATAAATATAATAGTAATGAGAATTGGTTTTAACCACAGATACAGAAGAAATGTTAAACATAAAATACTATATAAAGTCATAAATATAAATGTTAATATATTTTTTAAAATATTAACAGATTGAGTGATATTACTTAAAAATTATAAACAAAAGTGACTTAATTTTACATGTTTTCTTGTTTTGTTAGATTCATATGTGTTTCACTTTTTGAGCAATTTAAATTATATTGTATTTTTAAATTGATTTGAAAGAGAGAGAGAGAGAGAGAGGAATGGGGAGAGAGAGAAAGAAAGGAGAGATTTGTTGTTCCACTTGTTTACGTATTCATTGGTTGATTCTTGCATTTGCCCCAACCTGGGATTAAACCTGGAACCCCGATGTATTGGGACAACATACTAACCACCTGAGCTACCTGGCCAGGGTAGTATTGTATTTTTAATTTCAGTTTCCATGTGTTCACTATAACTGTAGAGAAATAGGACTGATTTTTGAGTGCTTATTATATATCCTATAACTTTGCTGAACTCATGTATTTATTTTAAAGAGATTTTATTTATTTATTTATTTTTAGAGAGGGGAAGAGGGGGAGGAAAAGAGGGAGAGAAACATTCATGTGTGGTTGCCTCTCACATGCCTCTCATTGGGGACCTGGCCCTGCAACCCGAGCATGTGCCCTGACCGGGAATCGAACCGGTGACCTTTTGGTTCACAGACTGGCACTCAATCCACTGAGCCACACCAGCCAGGGCTTCTTGGGATTTTTTACATAGACCATCATGATACCTGCACAAAGTCAGAGTTTTTTTATTTCCAATCTGTATACCTTTTCCATCCCTTTCTTGCTTTATTGTGCTGGCTGTTTCTTCCAGTGCTTTCTGTAGTAAGAGTGGTAACAGCAGGCATTCCTAACTTATTTCCAATCTTAGGAAGAAAGAATTCAGTCTTTCACTATTAAATATGATGGTAGCTAGGTAGATATTTTTATCAAGTTGAGGAAATTTCCTGCTATTCTTGGTTTTCTGAGTTTTTTTTTATCATGAATCGGTATTGAATTTTGTAAAAGGCACTTTCTACATCAATTGATACAATCTCTTCGTGTCGTCTTTGCTTAATTTATATGGCGGGTTACACTGACTGAACTTCGAGTGCTGAGTCAGCCTCACAACCCTAGAATGAACACCACCTGGCCATTATATCCTTTTTTACATGTTGATGGATATTTGCTGCTGTTAAGGGTTTTTGGGTGTATTTTCATGAAGGATATTGGTCTGTATTTTTCTTTTTTTGAACTCTCTGTCTGGTTTCAATATCAGGGTAACACTGGTCTCATAAAATGGGTTGGAAAGAGATCCAAACTCTTGTTTTCTGGAAAAGATTGTGTAGAATTGGTGTTAATTCTTCTTTAAATGCTTGATAGAATTCTCCATTAAAACCATCTGGACATGGAGGTTTCTTTTTTTTTAAGACTTTTAAATTACAGATTAAATGTCCTTAAGAGTTATAGAGCTATCCAAACTACTTATTTTATTTTGGGTGAGTTATGGTAGTGTGTGCTGTTCAAGGAATTGGATTATGGAATATTTACTTAGTCTCAAAATACCACCCTACAGAATAGTTCTGGATGATAAAGAGGGAAAGAGTAATTTTACACTGGAAAATGCTGATGCCTCAGCCAGCGGATCAAGGTTAACATCACTAACAGTGGGCAACTCAAAGTCATGTACCACCTGGTGGAGGACAAGAGAAGAACAGAGCATCCCTTTTGTGCGACCCCTGCCTTTTGTGCTACCACAAGCGCAAATAAGCGCAAACTTAGCAACATTCTGCGTCATCGTTCTTTAGTCTTCAAAAAGGTCAAGGTTACGAAGGCCGAGGAGACAGCGAGGTAGCACTCCCTCGAACGAGGCAGCATGGAGAGAGGCCCAGCCGCGTTCGAGAGGTGCTCTCGGACGGGATCATCAGCTCTTAAGGACGCTTTTGGGACAAATGATGAAATTTGATAGGCTGCTGGGAAGCAGATGGTGGTATGTTTCAATGTTAATTTTCTGATTTTGATGGTTGTACTAGGTTATATACCTGAATGTTCTTGTTTGTGGAAACTACATAATATTTGGGGGTTATGAGACATCAGGTTGTCAATTTACTTTCAGATGGTTCAGAAAAAAATATTTTTGACTTAAAAAAACTTTTCTGTAAATTTTAAATAATTAAAAAATTTCGTAAATGAAAAAATTTCCAGATAGTCTCTTCCCATTTTGATCACTGTGTTATTCTAGTGCTCCTAAACATTGAGTAATATATTTCACATACATTTGTAGTGAATATCATCTGCTTATTTGGGAATCTTTCTACTTCTGGTGTATTTATTTCCTCTCTTAACAACCACTTAATGAACATTAAAGTTTTTGAGCCATGACTTATCTGAATAGTCAAATTGCCTCTTCCAATTGAAGTCATGGAAAAACTTGAAATCCTCTCTCTGAAGTAATACAGTGGCTTCAGGAACCGCACCTGTGCTGATGGCTCACTCACACCCATCAGTGGCCCCAAGGATTCACAGAAATACGTGTTCTGGTGGAAAAATGAGTCACTCCGCCACCAACGCGCAGCTGTCCCGTCCCCCAGAGCACAGTGAAGCCGTGGAGACCTGAGTGAAGCACGAAGCGCCTGCGTCGGGGCAAGGGGCACACGCCTCTGCACCCTGTGCGGTGGGCGCCCCGTTTCCCGGGGAGAGGGCCGGGCGCCGCGCGTGAAATGGCCTTGCTCAGATGTGTGCAGCTGCTGACCACTTACTGTTTTCGCTGAGAGTGCTGTTTCGGAGATCTGGTCTTGGTTGCAACTGGAAAGCTGAGAGGAAGGCGCAAGGTCCTCTTGTGAGCTACAGTGAGTTGAACAGAACGTCTTCCTGATACCAGTTCCTGGCCGGTGAGAGGTACGAGAACGGGCCAAGGGTTGTGCACATTTCTTGATACCAGTGCTGTGTCAACCATTCCGACACGTCTGTTTCTGTGAATGAACAGATTTCATCCTCAAACAACCTTTGTTTTTCTTATCCTTGCCAGAGGGTATGCGTACTGATTTCAGAGCGAGAGGAAGGGGGAGAGAGAGAGAACATCAGTGTTGGGGGGAAACATCGGTCGGTTGTCTCCCCCGCGTGCCCCAATCGAACCCGCAACCCGGGTGTGTGCCCTGATGGGACGAGCCCGCACCTGCAGGTGCACGGCTCAGTGCTCCAGCCCGCTGCGCCGCTCGGCCAAGACCCTTCCACGCTATTGTCCACATTCCCTCGAATCAGTTTTCTTTCTAAAATTCCAGTCAGCTTTTCCTCTTTTGATTGCAGTCCTTAACTAGTGCCTTATATAACCTTGAGGATAAAGTCCAGACCGCTTAGCATGACTTCCAGGATGCACTGTGATTGGGCAACTTGTCTCAGCCCAGCCTCACCTTTAGCCTGTCTGTCCCCAAACATCTTATACTTCAGCTTCAATAAAATATTTGCCACGGCAAGTAGCCACAAGGGCTCAGACAGCCTCATGCCTTTACCAAGATCTTTCCTCTGCTTAGAATCCCAACCCCCAGCAAATGCCATGGCTCAGCTCCTCTGAAATCCCCTGACACCCTTACAGAGACACTAGTGCCCTTTCCTCTGCACTGTCGTTGTTCGTTGTATGCGATGCCTTTTGCGGCTGCTGCCCCCCGCTCAGGTGTAGTTGTTGAGGTCTGTGTCCCGCTGTCATGTCAGACCATAGGTTCCTGATGTCTTTCCATCTCCGGGTCCCCATCTCCCGGCCCTGGGACTAGCACTGTATAGGCCCTCCACAAACATTTGTTTGAGTGAATGGTGTTCAGAAAGATTTTTTAGAAGCACTGTCAGGTCTCAAAAGGCTTTTTAAAGTATCAAAGATTCGTCTCATAGACTCGCTGAATATCAGAACTGGAAGGAACCTTTGAAATCATGTACTCCTATTTTTTCATTTACAGATGAAAAAACTAAGGACTAAAAGAGAGGAACTAAGAGAAGAAAAGTCACTTGAAATCATATACCAGTTTGGAGGTAGAGCCAAACTGAATAAACCTGAATAAATGAGGTAAAGCCACAGAAGGCTTTTTTTTTTTTTTTGCAGAGGAAGACAACACAGTAACATTTTAGGAAGATTAACTGGCAACACTGTACACGCCGGATGGATTGGAGGGAAGAGGTCAGAGACGCAGAGACCAACCAGGACAGAACAATAACAACGCAGGCATCGATGGATAACCACTGGACCAGAGGGGCGGCCGCAGCGCTGGGAATGACGGGAGAGCGATTGCAGGGAAAGGACGAGCAGGCCTTGGGGTTTCATTTGCTTTGAGAGGTGCGGGAGAGAGAAGAGTTACAAAAACTGCAAGTTGGAGACTGGTGGTTGGAAGGATGATGGGACCATCGATGGAAATCAGAAAGTCACGAGAGGTCTTCTTCCTGAGGGAAGACATTAAATCTAGTTTGTGCTGAGTTGAGATGAGGTGATGGTGGGATACCCAACGAGGCTGTGAGCAGTGGGAGAGGAGAGTGAGCCTTGTGTCTAGGAGGGAGGCTGACATGCTGGTACGCAGTCACTGCCCCTCCTGGCCTGGTGGTGGGACTCGGCAACTGCCCTCGGACCCCTGGTACCGCCTGGCCCAGCAGGGGCCGCGGGAACTCTGCTTCGGCAAGACAGGCGACAGCATCCCTTCTGGTCACTCGGCGTCTGTCTGTGCCACTGGTTTCCAGTACGATTACCATTTCAAGACGCAGAGACACTGAGTTTAGAGTCATAGCAAAGAGGGGGCCAGAAGAGAGAAAAAAAAGAGAGAAAGTGACTGGACCCAGAGCAGAGGGCTGGATGCAGCGCCCATGTTCAACACCCACATTAAGAAAGTAGCCCAAGAAAGAAGAAGGAAAATGGTGTGAATATTCATAGCAGGGTTATTCATAATAGACAAAAAACGGGAATTACCCAAATGTCCATCGACAGACACCATGTAGCATGTGTATACAAGGGAATTTTATTCAGCAGTTAAAAGACGGAAGTACTGATAAATGCAACCGCAGGAGTCAACCTTGAAAATGAGCGGCATGAAAGAAGCCAGACACAAAAGGCCACACACTGGACGATGCCCCTGACATGAAGTGTCCAGGCCAGGCAAGTCTGTGGACTGAAAATAGGTGGGTGGCTGTGAGGGCCTGGGAGAAGGGAGGAGTGGGGGGTGACCGCTCATGGGCCTCGGGCAACAAGGTTGAATGTCACCTGAGGCCTCTGCTCCTGGAAAACTGACCTTGGAAGGCCTCTCCCTACCCTTCTGTGTTCTGGGAAACAGCTTATTGCAAGGGCGCACCCTCTCCCTATGACTCACAGGCGCCCCTTAATTTGCCTGTGCCCAGGGCAGGTGTAGACCCTCCCTGTTCTCCTCCTTTGTCTCGTAAATGGTACTGAACTGCTTGTCATTGCTGATCACCCGGAACAAAATGTTTCCTAACCAGACTTTGCTCCGGCCTCTCCCCTTCCCCCGCGCCCCTGGCTGTGGCCCACTCTCAGCCTCAGCTGGCACACAGCCCCTCCTGAGCACGGGCTGACCTCAGGGAAGAGCATTCTCTGACCCACTCTCCTGTCCTCCTTTCACCCGTTTCCTGCACCTGCTCCTGCTTGGGTCGTCTTGGCTTTGTTTAGCCCTCTCGGCAAAAGAAAACTCCCTTTTGTTTGGCCTGGTGACACACAGGTCCTGTGGGTGGGCGCAGTGTTCTCTCCGCTAGGACAGACCCCTCCCCGACTGTGCGGTGAGGGACAGCCCCTTGCCTCCCGTGCAGACACGTCTCCAGTAAAGTCTCCCTTTGCTGAGTCTGGGTCTGGTTGTCTTTTTTTATTTGACAGGTGTTTATTTTGGGGGTGATAAAAATGTTCTCAAATTGATTGTGGTTGCCAACTCTGTGAATGTACTAAAACCATTTAGTACATGTTAAATAGGTGAACTGTATACTATATACATGGTATCTCCATGAAGCTTGGGCTTTAAATGTTTTTTTACAAGTTTTAAAAGCTGTTTTAAAAAATGAAAAAAAAACAAGTTAGCAAATGGGACAAGAAATAAACAAAAACAGTACAGCCTCACAAAAGGCCACGAGGGAGAATCTCAAGGACAGCAGTGCTCAGTCCTGCAGAGCTCAGATAAAACCAGGAAAGGAGAGATAGCTGGTAGAATATGGAGTTAATTAGTGACTTTTTTAAATGGTATCAGGAACCCATTTTTTTAAAAAAGATTTTTAAAATTTATTTTTAGAGAGGGAAGGGAGAGAGAAAGAGAGAGAGAGAGACATCAATGTGCGGTTGCTGGGGGCCGTGGCCTGCAACCCAGGCATGTGCCCTGACTGGGAATCGAACCTGCGATGCTTTGGTTTGCAGCTCAATCCACTGAGCTACGCCAGCCAGGGATATTCGTGACTTTTAAATCCACTTTCGGTAGAGAGGAAGCCGGCTTTTTTGGATAAAGTGCAGAAGTGTGAGGACTGACTGAACTGGAGGCAACGGGTCTGCAGCAGCCGTTCCGGGAAACAATGAGTTTGAACTGGGGAGAACAGACGGATCCAGCCTGGAGGCGGCAGGAAGGTAAGACCAGTTATGACCCCCGACCCACCCACACAGTTTTTGTTGTCTCTGTGTTTGCTTTTGTTGTTTATACGTAAGATAAGAGACCAGTGCACATCTAAGGCAAAGGAGAGGGAAGGCTTTATGGCATTTTCATTAACGTATTTTCTGGATGTTTTCTGTGTGTTGGCCTGAGTCACTGCTTCTCTGAGACCAAAACCTCTCACCTCAGAGCAAACCTGCTGTGTCCTGTGGTTGGCTTCTAGCACCAAATGATGCATAAACTAGCACCTAATAAATATTTTTATTGTTTGCTGGTTCAGGAAGTCTACCCTATATATTAATGTTTGAAAAAAAAAGGAAGGGATTTTTTAGGAAGAGAAATATACAAGCATCATAAGCACTTTCCATATATGTCAGAGGGACAAGAATAGTGCCCATAAATCTGGGGAGGAGAACCCGTGGCAACTGTGAGCCAGCTGCTGAGGACTGGTTTTCTGTGTGGGCTGGTTTGTTTCTCTCATGTGAAGACACGTCATTCATCCCAACCGTTTATTATGAACAAAACACACTGTCTCCCTAGGCTCGCTGTCAGCACAGACCCAACACGGAGTGGAACACATTACATGCCGTGCCCCTCACCCCTTGCTGAATCTTCCTAGGTACAAACTGGTAAGACTTAAGGCAGAACCACAGCAAGAGATGAGCAATGTCTGGCTTACCCCCACCCCTACCCCTCAGCCCTGCCCTTTCACACTTCTTGTTGCCACTAGGGGGAGGGGAGAAAGGGCCTACCCTCCCTCCTCCCTCTGCTAGAGACCCCCCCTCTGTGAACCCTTCCCCACTCTCCCAGAAGAAGTGGCCACCCTCCCTGGGCGGCTGGAGGGCCCTCCGCTTTGTGTAGGGAAGTATTCGTGCATCTGCCTCTCCTGCTCTGCTCTGGATTTCTCCTTAGGAAGGACTGAGCTCTCCTCATCCTCCTTGAAGTTCCCAGCCCAGTAGCTGGCTCGTGGTAAGCAGTCACACTTTTCTGAACACGTGGACGGTTGGAGGAACATGATAGAGCGCCGTGAGGTTCCAGCGGCTGACACGAGCGCAACCTGTTCTTTTTCTGGGCCACAGGGTTGTTTGTCTCCACCTTTCTGTCCCTTCCGCAGACACTGCCTCAGCAGCTGAAAGCACACAATGGAACAGTTCGCCTTTCAGCAAACAGAGTGAGCAGTGGAAAATGGAAAGCGTCAACCCTGAATGCAAGCGACGGCATGCTGAATGCAGTTCCAAGCGGAGGGAAACTGCTTATTTTCACTGAAACGAAGTCCTCTGAGAATTGCTTCGCTCCAGTTCTGGCTGTCCTGTTGACAACACTAGTTCACCAAGGCTTAGCACGCCCCCTGTCGGATTTAGCTGGCATTTAGTAAGAAGAGGAGCAGTAGAGAAACATCTAAGTAGGGGTAGGGCCCTTTCTGCAAAATTCTTTGTTAATGAGGCATCAGGTGACGCACGTATTTACTAGACTACCTCTAGAACCTAATTTGACTGATCTCAAATACTGTCATTCCTATTTGAAGAGTAAAAATATTTTGCTGATGGGAAAGCTGAAATGGCATGGACTTAATTCCTTCAGCAAGTACACAGCCACAAAAATCAAGTCAACCACTAGAATTTCTCTTCAGCACCACCCTCCACCCCGCCCTGCAACAGGGAGGTTTACATTGTAATCTCTAAACGTTCACTGAGAGAGAACTAGTTAAATAAATATAGTGCATCTGTACTTTGGAAAACAAGACAGCTCCACATATACTGATATGGAACAATCTTCAAGATATATTAATGACTGAAAAAAATGCTGAGCAATATATATATATATATATTTTGATGTTATATGCAGAGACTTTCTATGGAAGACTCCACAAGAAAATAGTAACAATTATCTCCTGGGAAGGAAATTAGGTGCTGCAGACAGGTAGAAAGAAAAGTAAAAAGAAACCTTTTCACTATATTTTTGTGTGCTATTCACACGTTGTATCTTGTGTGTTACCTATGAAAATAACCAACTAAAAAGTGTAAGAACCTTGTGAAGGTTCAGTGAGTTTCTCTACTTTGTCACTTTTCTAGAAATTTCTAGAGTTTGTCACTCTTTTTTCTAGAAATCTTACCAATGCTCAGTGGAAGCAACTTAGACTGCCAAATACATTTTCTTTTAAATTCTAAAATAAATTGGCTGACCAATTTATTTTATGACCAATTTATGTCTAGCAGGCATATATATATGTATAATTAAAAAATTGTTATACATAGTTTTATATATTGTATTTGACTTTATATGTCAGCTATGGTTTTATACTTGTATACCGGCTCATTCTACTTGAATCTCAAACAAGAAAGTCATTTGTTTCCGAGAAAGCAGCTATTGAAGCGTTAGGGGAGTATTTTTTCCAACAGTCACTGGGACTGCCCCGGGGGGCTACCCCAGACAGCTCTCCGGCTCCCTTCTGGGTTGGTGGGTTCTCCAACTGGGCTGATGGAGCCCCAGGTGTCCACCAAGCGATTTTTCCCTCTTCCTAACAATAAGGCATGCCAGAGTAGAACAGACCTTTTGCCAAGACCATCGTCTGTCCAGCTGGGGAAACCCAAGCCTGGTTTCCTAACTGGGGAAAGGTTTGTTGCCTTTCTGGGGGAAAGGCGGGTGGTGCTGCTCCAGGGAACTCACAGTTCCAGGGCTGTGCTGGAGAGCTCAGTGGGCTTGCATGGGCAGCCTGGACTTCTGAGCTAAGGGTCCGCCTTGGTCCTGCTCCTCGGTACCCATTACAATAGAAAATACGTCTGTAGTTAATTCTCAGGCTGGCTGGCTCAAAAGCAGCACGGGCCGGCGGCCGCGCCTGCTCATCCTGTACGAATGAGAGGTGCAGCGTTAAGGGAGAAAGTGTGGGCGGAGCCCAGGGACCTGGTTTGAGCGCCAAGCCGATGCTTCCCTGCAGGTGCACTGTGGCAGGTCACTTGCCCTCTCCAGGCCCTCCTGTTCCCGCTGGTCCGGTGAGAAGGTGAGGTCCGACCATTGCTCTGGTTGCTGAGCGCGGATCTTCGAGTGTGGAGAGAAGGGTGCGTTCCCAGACCCTGCTCTGAGGTCAGTGCCAGCTAGGCCTCTGGGGCAGAGGTCAGCACGGAAAAGGCTGGGTTTTAGAGAAAGGTTAGAAGTGGGTAAAAGGCTTTACTTTCTATTTCATTGCCCATTTCAATGGAATTAAAATAGGGTAACCCCAGTGGAAACCTAGAGGGGGGCTTTGCAGCCCCTCACCACCACTGGGAGCCTAACGGAAACTCTCTTCCTTCCGTTCCCCACGCAGCCCCTCAAGCCTTTGGGATAGCAGTTGGTAATGGGGGTGGGGGGGGTGGGCTAGAGGCCCCTTCGAAAGACTGTGGATCCTTTCCTTTTCAGAAACTGGGCACAAGCCAACACGACACAACACGACACAACAACATTCCGCATATCATTTCAGGGTCTGGTGCTCCACCTGGCTCCCCCGCTGCAGACCGTCAAAGGCGGAGGCAGGTTGCGCGCGAGCAGACAAGGGGAGGGAAGCGGAGCAACAGCTCTCCAGGACCTGTCTCCTCTCCAGCTCGCATTCCTCCCTCGCAGTCCCGCTCTCATCGCCTCCGCCTCGTCTCCGGCTCCAACTATTCCAACCATCCCGGGAAGGGTGGGGCGGCGGCTCTCGGGTCCCCCTCGGTTGCTCCCTCCCCCATCCCCGTTCTCCCCTTCGCCCCGGTCCCTCCCTCTCTGGGGTGGGGCCAGCCAATGGGCGACGAGACTCCCGGGTTTGGCCTGGGAGCCCGGGAGCAGCGCAGAGATCGCCCCCCCCACAGTTCTGGCCGAGGTCCCGGGGCGCACGGACGTGGCTTGAGTTTCCTCCGCTCTCCGATCGCTCTCGCTCTCCTCCCCCCTCCCGCTCTTCCTCCTCTCCCGGTCTCCCGCTCCGGCTTCAGCTCCACACGCCGCCGCCGGCCCTGCGCGGCTCCGGGTAGCCATGGAGGACACCCAGCTCCACATCGTCGAGCAGCCGCTCCCCACGTACCCTGACGCGGAGGACCCCGCGCCCTCGATAGTGCGGGCGTCGGCGGCCGAGGAGCCGTCGGGCACGGGCTCCGAGGAGCTGATCAAGTCGGACCAGGTGAACGGCGTGCTGGTGCTGAGCCTTCTGGACAAGATCATCGGCGCCGTCGACCAGATCCAGCTGACCCAAGCCCAGCTGGAGGAGCGGCAGGCGGAGATGGAGGGCGCCGTGCAGAGCATCCAGGGCGAGCTGAGTAAGCTGGGCAAGGCGCACGCCACCACCAGCAACACCGTGAGCAAACTGCTGGAGAAGGTGCGCAAGGTCAGCGTCAACGTGAAGACCGTGCGCGGCAGCCTGGAGCGCCAGGCCGGCCAGATCAAGAAGCTGGAGGTCAACGAGGCCGAGCTGCTGAGGCGCCGCAACTTTAAAGTTATGATCTACCAGGTGAGCTGGCGGGGCGGGCCTCGCCCCGAGCTCCGCGCCCGGCCCGCAGTCCCAGGCCCGGGGCTTGGGGTCCGGGGACCTGCTCTCAGCGCGGCTCGGCTCTCCCTGTCAGGCCAGCCTGTCTGGGCCCGGGGGACCCACCCTCCTTGGGACGACCGCTGCTGGGGTGGGGCGGGGTGGGGCGGGGCGGGGTGAGGAGCGGATTCCTGGAGTGCGCAGGGGGGCGCGCTCTGCACCCCGCGTCTCCCCACCGAGCCCCCTCCCTTCGGTGTCAAATGTAGTGGAACTGAGTTACGGCGCTGGCGCTGGACTCGGGGACACCGTCCCTCGCAGACCGTTCCCGAATTGGATCTGTCAAAAGTCTACTCCCAGGAAGTTTGGGAGAAAGCCGTAGGTCCCCGGCGGCGGCTTTTGGGACCCGCTGTAAACGGACACTGGCGGCAAGGCCCGGGTTTGGGGCCTCAGGCGCTGCCCGCCCGATATAGCGGGTGATTCAGGGCCCAGGCACGCACCGGCGGGGGCCGAGCCGGGCGGGCGAGGATCAGCATAGCCAGCACACCCCCGCGGACCCCGCACCCCCGCCTCAGCCTTGGCTACCTACCCTCTCCCCTCGGTGCAATGTGTCCCTGGCCTCCCGGCACTTTCAGTCCCCTGGGGACGCCCTAGTCAGAGGCGCGCCCGCCCTCTTGGCCAGGTAGAAGCAGGCAGGCGGGGGCGGGGGTGGGTGGGTGAAGGAGGCAAGAGGGGCTGGTGGAGGGGAGTGGACGGCCCAGGCCCGCGGTCCGGTCACAGTGAATCACCTCGCATACCTGCGGGGGCGGGGGGGGGGCGGGGGAGCGAGGGGCGCACTCGCGGGAGGAGGCTGGCGCGCTCCAGGCTCCGCCCAGGCGCTTATTGCTTCGTTTGCACCTCTCCCCATTCCTCCTGCCAGGATTTTTTTTAAAAAATGTCGTTTTTGTCTCTTAACCCCAAATCAACCTGGCCCTTTCCACACCCCCTCCCCAACTCCATTCCCTTGGGCCTCAGCTGAGCGCTTGGTGATCTTCGCTTGGGTGGGAATGTGCCCAGCCTCGCCTCCCCTCTGCTTCCCGCGGACCTGGAGGAGGTTCCCGCCCCAAGGAGATGAGACCAGGGCGTGGGGGTTAGTCTGCGCTCCCTCGTCCTGTGGACGGGAGCGGAAGGAAAAGGAAGGCTGGATTTCCCACCGCCCCTGGGGGAGCAGAGCCCTCTCCGCGAGCTTCGGCTTCACTGAAGACTCTGGGGCTGGGTCAAGCTGGCTCCTGAGTGACCATCTGGGATGCCACGCGTCCTGGGATGCCACGCGTCCTGGGGTTGGCCTCTGCAGAAGGAGCTGAGAAAGATGCAGATGGAGACAAGTGTTTGGAGACAACAGACACGGGGAGGTGGGCCAGCTGGCCTTAGCTGAAGAGGTGGGACAGAGGCAGAAGTGACACCCCCCTCCCCCTCCCCTGCCCAGGGACTCCACCCAAGAGGCCTTTAGAAAGCTTTGCCTCTCCCCATCCAGCACTGTCTGGTAGTAAACGTTGGCCCCGAGTTGTTTCCACTCGGCCTGCTTGGAGAAAGGAGAGTTGTGTGTGTGTGTGTGTGTGTGTGTGTGTGTGATTGTTAGAGAGATCTACCTATCACTGAGAGGCATCCAAGGAAGGAGAACAAGATAGGGGAGCAAAGGAGCCTCATCTTTTCTACCTGCTATGGTAGAGGGTTGCCATGGAGGGCTGAGTGGGTGGCCCTTCTCACTTTTCAATGTCCCAGACCACTGGACCTGGGGATATTCTTGGTCTTGGGGTAAACCTCCCCATGTCAAAGATGGAGATTCTGAGAGGACGGGTATGGAGGGAGAGAGGCTTCCGCGCAAAGGCCAGTAGCGTCCCTCTCAGCCACTGGCAGGGATCTGGAGCTGTGCATTGTGTGCCTGCGGGAGGAGGAGGAGGAGGTCAGATCTCGGGGCGGCTTTGACCACGTCTGTACTAACCCGGGGGCCGGAGGAGAACAGAGTTGAGGTAGCAGGAATAACTCAAGCTGAGGGCCCTGAGCCCCCAAACATCGGGGCAATAACTAAGAACCACAAGGGTCCCAACTCTGAGAAGAGCTCAGAGGTAAAGGCTGGCGACAGGGTGGGGCTCAGGGAAGCAGAGCTTCCCCCCCCCCCAACCTGAGCGGCACAGCAGATGTTCCAGGTGGGGCCCGCGGGTGGGGTACCCCAGGCCGGAGGAAGGCAGAGGCTGCTCCGCCCTGAGTCTGCAGGCCCGGGAAGAGAATGAGGTAAAAATAGCTCTGGGCCTCGCAGACCTAATAGGGAAGATCAGGGGCGGCAACATGTTTATGGTAAAATCAGGCCTTTGGGGTCGGATGTTTGGGTGGCCAGGCGCGGAGAGATTTAGAGAAAATCCTCACAGGATGGAGGTGTGAGTTCTGCAGCAGGGGAAGAGGAGGTGCTGTATTCCCCACTGCAGACGTGGGAGGTGGCGATAGGGCAAGGGGGTGGGGGCAGGGTGGAGGGAATCCTGAAAGGGTCGGAAGGCCCCAGCTGTGGGGTCAGGTCATCCGGCCTTCCACACCTTCTTCCTGGGGAATAAAGGAGGGAATCCCTTGTGTGGCCCCACCCCGAGCCAGGGAACTGCTGGACACAATGACATCACAGGTTAAGTTTGCATTCGAACACACACACACACACACACACACACACACACACACACGGAATGCAGCCCCTCCCTGGCATTTCCCTCTGTCTCCCAAACAACGAGCAGCAGTGTGGCGCCCCATCCTATCGGGCAACGCCTAGCTAGGCAACCGTTAGTGAATGAGAGAAGTGAATTCTGCTGGTAGTCTGGGGTCAGTGGATTGAGAACTGCTGGGAGGACCAGGCAGATTGGGCGCCACCCAAACAGCAGGAACTGGGGTTACTAAAGAGCCAATTCTCCCGGACGGTAATTTGGGTATTATTAGAGTTCTTTCAGAATCTGGAAAGGGAGGCAGAAATGGAAATCAATGTGTTCTGGGGTATTTTTTTTTTAAGATTTATTTATTTATTTATTTTTAGAGAGGAAAGGGAGGGAGAAAGAGAAAGAAACACCAATGTGCGGTTGCTGGGGGTCATGGCCTGCAACCCAGGCATGTACCCTGACTGGGAATCGAACCTGCGACACTTTGGTTCGCAGCCCGCGCTCAATCCACTGAGCTACGCCAGCCAGGGCTTGTTCTGGGGTATTTTTGATGGGGCAGTTGGCGACCTACACATGCACCCGCCGCCAGACCTGCTCCCAGTGCTTGAGGATAGGACCAGGAAGCACTTAAAGGGCCGAGAGGATCATGGGCATTAAAGGCGAGGAACCAGGGCTGGGATGAGGGCCGGCTGACTTCTCCCCAAATCCTAGCCCATCCTACTGCTTCTTCTTGGACTCAAGGCAAATCTTGCCTGCTTTGTTCCAGAATCCCAACACTTGGTAAAAAAAAACATTCACAACTCGGGGTTCTGGTCTCTCTTGTCTCCCTAAGCCTAGTGGCCATGGAGAGCTTGCTCATCATACATTTCCTTCACAAAGCTGAGTTTGGGTTGTTTTTTTCCTTGTCATTGGGTCCAAAGCAGGGAGGACATTTTTAGGGGTCTTTCTTTCTTTCTTTCTTTTCTTTCTTTCTCCTCGCTCAAGA